GCTTAACGTTATCATCATCCTTCACTCCACTGAGCACCCCGTGCAAGAACGCCATCACCCCGTCGCAGAGCCTGTCAAGGTCCGAGTACACGATGCCGGAGCCGGTGTAACTCCCGTTACTGAAGCCGAGAAATTTTTCGAGGCCTGTGCAGAGGTTATTTAATAATGATGTTGAAGGATTATTTTAGGCACATTTCCAGGGCGATTTGGGGGAATTTGGGGAAAGGCGATTTTAGGTCAAGGAGGCAGTGAGGGAGGTGGGTGGACAGGGTGAGGGAGGTGAAGGGGCGAAAGAGGGCGATGAAGGAGGAAGATGGGTTGGAATAAGGGGATTTCGGAGGTGGAGGGGGAAAGGCGGAAAATGAGGATTTTGGTGAAGGACGCCGACGGAGGAGGTGATGGAGGGGGTGAAGGAGGAGGGAGCGAAGCGACCAGTGAAGGAGGAGGTGGTTGAGTGAGTGGTTGAGTGGTTGAGTGGTTGAGTGGGTGAGTGGGTGAGTGGGTGAGTGGTTGAGTGAGTGAGTGGGTGATTAGGTGAGTGGTTGAGTGGTTGAGTGGTTGAGTGGTTGAGTGAGTGAGTGGGTGATTAGGTGAGTGGGTGAGTGGGTGGGTGATACACAGATCACACGTGAAGGCACGATTACGGTGAGAAGTACTTGACGTTGGCGAGTGCCTTGACGCGTGCGGCGGCGAGGAGCGACTGGGCGGCGATGCGGTGGCTTGAGGGCGATCTCAGGTGGGAGCGTATCCTCAGGACGTCGAGGCGGACGACGGCGATGTGCAGCAGGTACAGGAGCGACAGCGACCAGAGGGCTAATAAGAGGTATGAGAAGGGTGTGCGAATTGCCCAGATGAATTCGTCGATTTCTTCAAACAGCTTCTTGAAGTATCCGTCGTACAGCACTTTATGTAATTGTTTAACAAAATCATCACACGTCCGCCTGGTATTGTGTGCATATAACGTAGCAGGTACACGGAATGTGAGTCCGTATTGGTAGAACACCGAGAGGACACCTGTGCAGTCAACGATGGAATCACAGTGGCAGCCTGGTTTTGTAGAACTTTCCTCCGTGACTCCATGTTTGCCGGGTGGACATTTGCAAGGACACCCGAATGATTTGCAAGCGATATTTTGAAACTATTCAGTAACTGTTGCAGCAAGTCCCAAAACTCCCAGGCCAAATAACAGCACCATGAAAGATACAATGCTGCGTTTTTTTAGGAAGGTGTGGTAAGCATTCTTTCCGAGTGGGTGGAGGTATGGAGCACATGATTTTGTCGCCTGGCATGTAGACATTGTAGATAGGCTCCACAGATCAGCATGACATTGGTTTGTAGCCTTGGCATTAGGAGTTATAAGGTGATCACCTGAAGAATAGTGCAATTTTTGCAGTGCACTGGTTAGTTTTGTCACTGGATAATCACCATGAAGGGAGGCTGACAGTGGGAAGCTGTCCGAAATCGTAACGTTTTCAAGGTGCCTTTAATTTCGGCGTTATGAATATACTTCCCGTCATGTTTTGGAAAACTTGGCAGTAGAGAGACAACATATCGCCAAAGACTTCTGGGAGGATATGTTTACTGACGCCAGACATCGAAGCAACGTAGGCAACGGACAGCCGCATCTTTGCATAAAATGCTGAGAGCTTTAAATATATCATTTCGGTGCCTTTAATGGACGCCGCGTTAGGTAAATCCACAAAGCCCATAGGTGTGATGCACTGTTCGCCAGCAGATGATTTGGGACAAGGTAGAGCAGACTGATTTACAACCGACAGATGTCAATTTATGTGGTAGACAACCGGGCATACCGTCCATTAAATGAGCCTGGAGACGTGATTTTGGAAGACACTCCCTACCGGAGTGTGATGAATCATGGCAATCCCATTGGTAACCGGAAACGTCCTGCCCGTATGGACAGTCATTCCAGCCACGGTATTTGGCGGGAGTACGACACACGCTATACAATAGGTTCAGGGAACACAGCAACCGACTACAGATTTCCTTTAACATATCGAACAGACTTGAAACGCTGCCAGGATAGTGGAAACCGCGGGAATTGTTTAGGAAGTAGCACGCATAAGGGTAGTCAGCATGATCGGAGCCACGTCCGTTCCCACATATAGTTGTGAGTACGTTGTATGCATTTTTTATCGTGTGATTTAGGTTATCATGTAATGTGTTCTGAAGGATTTTACTGATTACGGGATCCGCAGGCTGCGATTTTTTCTCAGCGTCTGTGATCTCCTTCTTAAGCATCGTGTTACAGTGTGTCTTAATGCCCTGATAGACTGCAGTGTAAGGAAGGCCCGTCAACCAGGATAACATGTCTCTGATGGAACAAGGGTATTTAGGTGAGTCGTGTAATGTAAGATGGCAGGCGGTGTAGTATGTTCTTATGTGACGGTGCAAATCTATAACAGGGCCTTGTAAGGTTTTTTGTAAACATGCTTTTCATCATCTGAGACAAGAAGCCCATATATCGTTTACCATCCACGTCATTTTCAATTCGCCACCTTGTTTGCCAGTGTTTTCGACACGTTGTAATTGCAGCCCTTGAAAAAGCTGCCGAGGGAGTTACTGTTGGCTAGATGAATCGACTTGTCATACATGGCACCTGACAACCCATCACGCAACTCATCAAAATCTCTACGGAACGTATGCATTATAGTACAGAAAACATTAGCATACTTGTTTTTGTTATTGCCATTCCAGTAGTCTCCCGAGTACGCCGACACGTACGCCTTGTCCAGCTGATCACACAATTTCTGCAGCCCATCTCTAAGTGAGTCGAGCAGCTTAGAGTTATTTGGGCCGGCGAATTGAGACGGCGTGAATTTGCCAAGTTCAGTGGAAAACGATTCTAAGCGCAATACGAATAGACTATCAAAATGTTTCGCTGTGCCAAGATGAGTAAGCAAATTGCCGAGTTTACTTTGCACTTCACCCAGCATTTTGGTTGGCTCCTTGGTTGTGGAGTTGGGTGGCGACGAACTTGGAGTGTTGAGTTGTCCCTTGATGTATGTGAAAATGAGTTCTAAATAGTCTTTAAATCTCTCTGAAAGCGTTTTAAACTGTTCTTTCTCTTCGACTCTTTCCAGTTTTAATGCCATTATTTTGCTTCCACTGTCCTTATACATCTCCTTCAGCAGGCCTTTGAGACCTTTCTTCTTGTCATTCTCTATAATTTCGGTAATCAATTTATTTTGCGCGCTGACCAATTTCTTGAGCTGCTCCAAGTCAGCCTTGTGCCCTTGGTTGAACATTTGTTTCGCGGCGGTGTGGACGGCGTCGAGGCTTCAGTCACTTGTTGAGTGAGGTGAGTCTGCAGCAGGCCATCGATACCTTCACTGAGTTCCTTGCGGGCTTGTTGAGAGGCTGATTTGGCGGCCTCGATTGCTGCTAAAAAGGACTTATTAAATTCTTTGATAGCTGAATTAATTTCCGCGATGCTATCTTTAAGTTCGCCCACACGCCTTCTCAGATCGCCAACCTGCCGTAGGATCAATCCTCCGGCCTCATCATTAACCCCGCTTACTAGAGGTTTCAGCCCGTTGATCTGTGCTTCAAGACCGTTGACTAGCTTTCGTATGTTGCCGGGCTGAATCCCTGCGTTGTTCAGCCTGTTGATTTGTTCATCTATTGTAGGGTGGACATCACGGAGTTCAATGTCGACGATGTTTTTTACTTTCTTATTTAGCTTATCGATGCCATTTTTTACTGCCTGTTGGAGGAGTTCGCCGAGTTTGGTGTCCACTTCGCTGTTGGTTGCTGCAGTGCCTAACTTGGCTTGGATGTCGTAGCCGAGATTCGTTTGGCCTTGAGAGGGTGAGTCAGTCTTTTTAATTTCCCCAGCGAGATGGTCACCGAGACTATTGACAACTCTTATAGCCGCCTCCACGTTACCTATTTTGCCATCGGTATCACCGCTGCCGATGAGCCATCCCAATTTTGCGGCAGCTGTCCTCGCTTTGGAGGCGAGTTTAGGGAGGATGCCGTCTACGGCAAGCGTTAAATCTGAATCGTTGGTGGGATTTCTTTTGTCGGTGAGAATGCCATCCTTCCCATTTGTCTCAACTTCCTTGGCTATCTCAGACGAACTAATACCCCCCACCCTATTCTTAATCTTCACATTAAGCTGCGTTGCAAATTTCTCGCAGGCCGCCTGAACATAGGCTACAATTTGTTCAATTCCTCCTTAGCTTTAGCCGTATAGGAGGGGAAGTCTGCAGACATTTTTTCTTCAGCTCCTGAATAATCTGCTGCTTAACTATCATGTAATCTACTGTCACTGCCACTTTTAATATGCTCCAGTTTGTTATTAAAACGACTGTTGTTCCTGCCGATATACGCCCCAAGCCTATGATCAACAGCTCCACTTCTTAAAATAGCACCAATCCAACCAGGCAGTGTTTCGCTCTCAAAATTTCCCCTGCGTGAACTTCTCAGCGTAAACTTTAACTGCCCCAACAATCTGATCCAGGGAACCATCTGGATGGTTCTTCGAATTCGCAACCAAATCTGTTTTCCTTTAATCGCCAACCTAATAATATCTCCCAAGCCATTTTTTACATAATTGGTAATTTCCTTTCTAATCTCCTCCTTCAGCTTCGTGATCTGCGCACTCACATTCATATCTGGATCACCTCCGGTCTCGAAATATGGCAGATTTTTCTCCACCGTAATAGTAACCTTCTGACCAAGTCCACCAAGTTCCTCCAGCTTCTGGTGAAGCGTCCCCAACTGCTCACTAACCGTAGCGAAGATCGTTTGAAACCCATTAGTAATATCTTTAGTGTCAAGCGCCGTGACCTGCTTGTCATTCCTGCAACTTCCCAACAATCTCACTATTATAATCATCGTCCAACTTAAGCGCCGCTTATTGGCCTGCTCTACACTTTATAGTCAACTGCTTGACCAGTCCTACCAAGGCACCACTGACCGTTATGCGCAGTTTCGAATGCCCGAATTCTTTCATCTATTGTGGTAAAATTATTGTCAACGTCTCTCTCAGCTCTTGCGATTTTGCTTTAATTCGCTCTTTGACAAGCGTTTCCTTCTCAGTAATGGCAGTATCAACCTCTGCCACCTTCCCCCCCTCTGCCATCTTCGTGGCAACACCTTTCAGGTGCTCTACCACTTTCTTAACTGGATCTAATTTGTGCGTTAGTTGTGCTTTAAGTGTGTCGTCTAAGTCATTAATTTGTATGTTTGCAATACTTTGAACATCACTGTCGATGCTCCCCAGTGTCCCCTTCCACCTTGCCAACTGGGTCCCGAGATCCTTGGTCGCCTCGCCTTCAACGCTCTTGTAATACTCATTCCCTGCAACACCAGATGAAACATCACTACGCAACTTACCTATAAGTGCAGATAATCCATCGGTCACTCCTCTTGTCTTCTTTTCTACTTCATCATTATATTTCTCCAACCACTCCTTCACCTTGGTGACAGAGTCCGAAAGCCCATTACGCCCAGTGCCAATTTTAGAAAATACATCACGAAGAACATTATCTAAATTATTCTGAGTAATATGTTTATTGTACGTTGTAACGTTATCATCCTCCTTCACACTTTGGAGAACTCCATGAAGGAAAGACATCACCCCGTCGCAGAGCCTGTCAAGGTCGGAGTACACGATGCCAGTGCCCGAGTAGCCTTTGGAAGTTTCTTGGTAACCAAGGAACTTCTCCAAGCCAGAGCACAGGTTAGTAAGGATATTATGGGAATTATTAGGCACATTTTCAGGGCGATTTGGGGGAATTTGGGGAAAGGCGATTTTAGGTCAAGGAGGCAGTGAGGCAGCGAGGGAGTGAGGGAGGTGGGTGGACAGGGCGAGGGAAGTGAGGGGGCGAAAGAGGGGGATGAGGGAGGAGGATGGGTGGAGGTAAGGCGGTTTTGGAGGTGGAGGGGGAAAGTGGAAAATGAGGATTTGGGTGAAGGACGCCGACGGAGGAGGTGATGAAGGGGGTGAGGCAGGGAGCGAAGCGACCAGTGAAAGAGGAGGTGGGTGAGTGGGTGAGTGGTTGAGTGGGTGATTAGGTGGGTGAGTGGGTGGTTGAGTGGTTGAGTGAGTGGGTGAGTGAGTGAGTGAGTGAGTGGTTGAGTGGGTGAGTGGGTGGTTGAGTGGGTGAGTGAGTGGGTGGGTGAGTGGGTGGCTGGGTGAGTGAGTTGGTGAGTGGGTGAGTGGGTGGGTGGTTGAGTGGTTGAGTGGTTGAGTGAGTAGTGAAGGCACGATTATGGTGAGAAGTACTTGACGTTGGCGAGTGCCCTGACGCGTGCGGCGGCGAGCAGCGACTGCGCGGCGATGCGGTGGCTTGCGGGTGATCTCAGGTGGGAGCGTATCCTCAGGACGTCGAGGCGGACGACGGTGATGTGCAGCAGGTACAGGAGCGACAGCGACCAGAGGGCTAACAATAGGTAGGAGAAGAAGTTGAGAAATATTGAAGGATTATTTTAGGCACATTTTCAGGGCGATTTGGGGGAGTTTGGAGAATGGCGATTTTAGGTGAAGGAGGCAGTGAGGGAGGTGGGTGGACGAGGTGAGGGGAGTGAAGGGGCGAAAGAGGGCGGTGAAGGGGGAAGATGGGTGGAGGAGAGGCGACTTAGGGGGTGGAGGGAGGAAGTGGAAAATGAGGATTTGGGTGAAGGACGCCGACGGAGGAGGTGATGGAGGGGTGATGGAGGGAGCGAAGCGACCAGTGAAAGAGGGAGGTGAGTGGTTGAGTGGTTGAGTGGGTGGGTGGTTGAGTGAGTAGTGAAGGCACGATTATGGTGAGAAGTACTCGACGTTGGCGAGTGCCCTGACGCGTGCGGCGGCGAGGAGGGACTGCGCGGCGATGCGGTGGCTTGCGGGTGATCTCAGGTGGGAGCGTATCCTCAGGACGTCGAGGCGGACGACGGCGATGTGCAGCAGGTACAGGAGCGACAGCGACCAGAGGGCTAATAAGGTGAGGGAAGTGAAGAAGTTGAGAAATGTTGAAGAATTATTTTCGGCAGATTTTTAGGGCGATTTGGGGAATTTGGGGAAAGGCGATTTTAGGTCAAGGAGGCAGCGAGGGAGGTGGGTGGACAAGGCGAGGGAGGTGAAGGGGCGAAAGAGGGCGATGAGGGAGGAAGATGGGTTGGGACAAGGCGTTATTGGGGGTGGAGGGGAAATGTGGAAAACGAGGATTTGGGTGAAGGACGCCGACGGAGGAGGTGATGGAGGGGGTGAAGGCAGGGAGCGAAGCGACCAGTGAAGGAGGGAGGTGGGTGAGTGGGTGAGTGAGTGGTTGGGTGAGTGGGTGAGTGGTTGAGTGAGTGGTTGAGTGGGAGAGTTGGTGGTTGAGTGAGTGGTTGAGTGGGAGAGTTGGTGGTTGAGTGGGTGAGTGGGTGGTTGAGTGAGTGGTTGGGTGAGTGAGTGGGTGGTTGAGTGGGTGGTTGAGTGGGTGGTTGAGTGAGTGGTTGAGTGGGTGGTTGAGTGGGTGGTTGAGTGGGTGGTTGAGTGGGTGATTAGGTGAGTGAGTGAGTGGTTGAGTGGGTGAGTGAGTGGGTGGTTGAGTGGGTGAGTGATTGAGTGAGTGAGTGGGTGGGTGGTTGAGTGGGTGAGTGGGTGATTAGGTGGGTGAGTGAGTGGGTGGGTGAGTGGGTGAGTGAGTGAGTGAGTGGTTGAGTGAGTGGTTGAGTGAGTGGTTGAGTGGTTGAGTGGGTGGGTGGTTGAGTGGGTGGGTGGTTGAGTGGTTGAGTAGGTGGTTGAGTAGGTGATTAGGTGAGTGGTTGAGTGAGTGAGTGGTTGAGTGAGTGAGTGAGTGGGTGGGTGAGTGAGTGAGTGGATGGGTGGTTGAGTGAGTGTGTGAGTGGGTATGTGAGTGGTTGAGTGGGTGGTTGGGTGAGTGAGTGGGTGAGTGGTTGAGTGGGTGGTTGAGTGGTTGAGTGAGTGGGTGAGTGGGTGAGTGAGTGGGTGGTTGAGTGGTTGAGTGGGTGAGTGGGTGGTTGAGTGGTTGAGTGGTTGAGTGGGTGAGTGGGTGGTTGAGTGGGTGAGTGGGTGGGTGAGTGGGTGAGTGGGTGAGTGGTTGAGTAGGTGGTTGAGTGGGTGGTTGAGTGGGTGGGTGAGTGGGTGGGTGAGTGATACATAGATCACACGTGAAGGCACGATTATGGTGAGAAGTACTTGACGTTGGCGAGTGCCTTGACGCGTGCGGCGGCGAGGAGGGACTGCGCGGCGATGCGGTGGCTTGAGGGTGACCTCAGGTGGGAGCGTATCCGCAGGACGTCGAGGCGGACGACGGCGATGTGCAGCAGGTAGAGGAGCGAGAGCGACCAGAGGGCTAGTAAGAGGTAAGTGAAGAAGTTGAGAAATATTGAAGGATTATTTTAGGCACATTTTCAGGGCGATTTGGGGGAATTTGGAGAAAGGCGATTTTAGGTGAAGGGGCAGTGAGGCAGCGAGGGAGGTGGGTGGACAAGGGAGGGATGTGAAGGGGCGAAAGAGGGCGATGAAGGGAGGAAGATGGGTGGAGGAGAGGGGATTTTAGCGGTGGAGGGGGAAAGTGGAAAATGAGGATTTGGGCGAAGGACGCCGACGGAGGAGGTGATGGAGGGGGTGAGGCAGGGAGCGAAGCGACCAATGAAGGAGGAGGTGAGTGGTTGAGTGGTTGAGTGGTTGAGTGGGTGAGTGAGTTGGTGGGTGAGTGGGTGGGTGAGTGGGTGAGTGGGTGGTTGAGTGGGTGAGTGAGTTGGTGAGTGAGTGGGTGGGTGAGTGGGTGGTTGAGTGGGTGGGTGAGTGGGTGGTTGAGTGGTTGAGTGAGTGGGTGGTTGAGTGGGTGAGTTGGTGTGTGGGTGAGTGGTTGGGTGGTTGAGTGTTTAGGTGGTGAGTGAGTATGTGAGTGAGTGGGTGGGTGGGTGGTTGAGTGGTTGAGTGAGTGAGTGGGTGAGTGGTTGAGTATGTGGTTGAGTGGTTGGGTGGTTGAGTGGTTGAGTGGGTGAGTGAGTTGGTGGGTGAGTGGGTGGGTGAGTGGGTGAGTGGGTGGTTGAGTGGGTGAGTGAGTTGGTGAGTGAGTGGGTGGGTGAGTGGGTGGTTGAGTGGGTGGGTGAGTGGGTGGTTGAGTGGTTGAGTGAGTGGGTGGTTGAGTGGTTGAGTGAGTGGGTGGTTGAGTGGGTGAGTTGGTGTGTGGTTGAGTGGTTGAGTGGTTGAGTGGGTGAGTGAGTTGGTGGGTGAGTGGGTGGGTGAGTGGGTGAGTGGGTGGTTGAGTGGGTGAGTTGGTGTGTGGGTGAGTGGTTGGGTGGTTGAGTGGGTGAGTTGGTGAGTGGTTGAGTATGTGGTTGAGTGAGTGGTTGAGTGAGTGAGTGGTTGAGTGAGTGAGTGGGTGGGTGAGTGGGTGAGTGGTTGAGTGAGTGAGTGTGTGGGTGGGTGAGTGATTAGGTGAGTGGTTGAGTGAGTGGGTGGGTGTGTGAGTGGGTGTGTGAGTGGGTGAGTGGGTGGTTGAGTGAGTATATGAGTGGGTGAGTGAGTGGTTGAGTGGTTGGGTGAGTGAGTGGTTGAGTGAGTGGGTGGTTGAGTGGTTGAGTGGGTGGGTGAGTGAGTGAGTGGTTGAGTGGGTGGGTGAGTGGGTGAGTGGGTGGTTGAGTGGTTGAGTGGTTGAGTGGTTGAGTGGGTGGTTGAGTGGTTGAGTGAGTGGTTGAGTGGGTGGTTGAGTGGGTGGTTGAGTGGTTGAGTGGTTGAGTGGGTGGTTGAGTGGTTGAGTGAGTGGTTGAGTGGGTGGTTGAGTTGGTGAGTGGTTGAGTGGGTGATTGGGTGGTTGAGTGGTTGAGTGAGTGGGTGGTTGAGTGGGTGGTTGAGTGGTTGAGTGAGTGATTAGGTGGGTGGATGAGTGGGTGGGTGAGTGGTTGAGTGGTTGAGTGGTTGAGTGGGTGGGTGAGTGAGTGGTTGAGTGGTTGGGTGAGTGAGTGGTTGAGTGAGTGGTTGAGTGGTTGAGTGGGTGAGTGATACACAGATCAGACGTGAAGGCACGATTATGGTGAGAAGTACTTGACGTTGGCGAGTGCCCTGACGCGTGCGGCGGCGAGCAGCGACTGGGCGGCGATGCGGTGGCTGGAGGGTGATCTCAGGTGGGAGCGTATCCTCAGGACGTCGAGGCGGACGACGGCGATGTGCAGCAGGTAGAGGAGCGACAGCGACCAGAGGGTGAGGAGTAAGGTCATGAATGGGAGGCGGATGCAATAGATGAAGTTGTCGATCGCCTTGAATAGTTCTGAGAAATGCGATGATTTTAGTATGTTGTTTAATTGAGTACAGAAATCGAAGCACGTTGTCGCTTTACCTGCGTTGTTAGATGTCCAATCTTCGCCGAATGTAACTCCATATCGATATAAGGTGGGCAAGGCACCTCTGCAATTTACGATGGAGGGGCATCCACAATTGTCTTTAAGACCATGTTCCCCCCTCTTGCAAGTAGATCCATTCAAGCATGAACGGCATCCCCAATCGTGGCAAAAAATATTTTTGAATGCATCGCACAATGCTTCAAGATACAGCAAGAGTTGCCATGGTAGATAGAGCGCCCATGACAGGTAGAGGTTAGAGTGTTTGTTCACGAAGTAGCCGTATGATTCACGACACAAGCTTGAGACGTTGGGAGTGCAGAAAATGTTCTCATTGCTTTTACATACGCCGGAGTCTATGATGCTCATGAGATGCGCATGGTTGCAATTGGTGTGCGTAGCAGATTGGGAACCGTATGCATCAACGAATGCGTTGGTGAGATCGGAACTGTCCGAGACCAGGTCAATGGAAACATCACGAATGGACAACTCGATCACATTCCTAAACGGATGCGTGGCTCTGTGACGCCAACCGTTAACCAATGACAACGCAAAGGCGATGTGCTCTGGCAACGTAGATGGTGGCTTCGGTATAACGCATAATAGGGGTGAAATATTAGAGCCCCTAATGAACGCATCAATGATCTCACTTAAATGCAGACCTGATTTAGTGGACCCAGAAAAGGCTCTGAAACCAAGAGGAGTTAAACAAGGCTGCCCAGGTTTACCGCCAGGGCAGGTGGTACATACGGATCTACAACCTACACTGGTTAATTGGTGCGGTAGGTGGCCGGGAAGACAATCATTTAGGTAGGACATAAGTGGCGATGTTGGTCGGCACGCTGGTTGGCACGTAGGTCGGCAAGTTGCTTGGCACTCAGGTTGGTCGGTAGGTTGGCTGCTTGATTGGCACGTTGGTTGACCTGTTGAGTGGTAATTACATTGAGAGTTAGTTGTCATGACATCTCTGCCGTAAAGACAACCGCCCCAACCACAGCGTTCAGGTCTACGACTGCACTGGGTGAGCAAGAATTTCAACGGGGGTAAACATCTACGAATGATGTCAACTAGCATGTTGAAGCAATCCTCCCCGCTTTGAGGATAATGCAATTTCATGGAGTTGTCATAAAGGTCGCAGGCATACAAGCTATGCAAGTCGCCGTGACCGACGATGGCTGTCACGAGAGTGGGAGATAGGGATGTAATGTTATTAATTGCGTTGTCAATGTCTCTATAGCCGATTGGTGACGGATGGGCGTCGATGAATTGAACACGCTTAGGTGGCTTACCAGCTCCATCCGGCACCTTGTACAACGTCTTAACATACGTTTTGGTGTTTTTGTGCGCGAAATTATGTGGCAAACCGGTAAGCCAGACAAGCATCTCGTTAACAGAAGAGGGATGCTTCCTGGCTGCGAAAGTGGAAATATGGCCAACCTGGAAAAATTCGCTACGGTGAGAGAGGATACACCGAAGGAGTTCCAGGACGGTGAATTGTTTTTGACGTGGCATACAAGTCTTAAGATGGTCAATGTCAGCAGCCTTGGGAATTGCTTGCAGACAGTCTGCAAGAATCTTTTGGCCATTCCATTCACTCTTATGTTGTAACTCACCGTCCTTAGAAGCATTATTTTGCGCTACTGTATAGCCACACTGATCGAGGAAATTGCCGAGGGGATTAGAGGCGGTTGAATTCATTAGGCACAGTTTCTCTGTCTTCCAGTCGCCATCTGTTTCACACTGTTCCCTAAGCTCAGTCAATGCGGTAGTTAAGGTGGGCAAACAGGTGAAACATATTTTCGCGTATTTGTTTTCGTGCTCCGGCTGCCACGCCTCACCGTCATACACCGACACGTACGCCTTTTGGAGCTCATCGTGCATCCCTGTCAGGCCTGTTTTTAGAACGTCGAGTAGGGGATTGGTGGGGGCGGAGTACGAAGCGGGGCGGATGGTGGAGAGGGTGGAAGCAAGGGCGGAGAGATTTTTTTGGAAGGGGCGGTCGTATTTGGAGAGGGAGGAGAGGAGGGTGGAGAGTTTGTGTTGCAGGTCTGGGATATTATCACGATTTAACATAATCTCTGGATTGCCGTTGAGAGTCGTAAGCAGTGCAATGAAGAAATCCCTCACCTTTGGAGATACAGTGCCTAGATTGGACATATTTACACCAATAAGGTTATCATCTAAGTTCCCTTTTAGCTCCTTCATAAAACCCTTGTAATGTTTGTCTGCATCCGAAGCCACCTTGGTGGGAAGGTTGGTAAGTAACTCGTTGACTTTCGTGGCGAATTCGTGAAGCTGCGCTCTGAGGAACACGACGTAGTTTGTTTTGATGTTCTCCAGAATGGTGTCTCTTGCTCCATTGATTTTTTCTGTAACAAGGTGCAAGAGTTGCTGCATCATTTCTATTCCGGACGAATTGGCATATCGAACAATTCTATTTGCTTCACTGATAAGGGTATACAAGTCATTTTTTGCAGATTACTGATATCTTCTTTAAGTTTCTGTAGACTACCTGTATGTTTCGGATTTTCCTTTGAGATTAATCCTTTAAGTTCCTTCAATTTATCTTTAGCGCTGGCATTGCCGTCTGCAGCAGCATCGGTAATCGCTTTGCAGAGCTGTCCGAAGTTAGTCCGAAAATTGTTCGCATTTTGATTTATGGACTCATTGTCGATCGATTTTACGTTTATTGGATCAGTGAATTTGCCTAACGTTTTCCCGCGAACGTCTTGAATGGCCCTGTCAATTGCACCGTTACTCTCAACATATGGTTTATAGGCCTTCATTTGAGTTCTGAATTCATCAGTGCTCTTCAGATACTCGGTCATCACGGTCCCAATTGCGCTCTCAAGATCATCTTTGAGTGCTATAATTACAGGATTTTTATCGCCCTTTGACCAAGTACTCGAACCAGTAAAATCGTGAAAATCACTCATCGCAAGTTCTATGGTGTCCTTCAACAGTTCGTCGGCTCTTTCGATAGTCTCCATTAATGCACTCACATTTTTCAGGCCTTTAATGCCGGGGCCAGCTTTAGCTTCCATACCTCCTCCACCGGATGCATCAGCAGCATTAATAGCATCAATAAGAGCATCAACCTGCTCCTTAACATATTCTCCTAACGCAGTCTTGAATTTTGCTTCTAGGCTTTCCAAATCATTCATGATAACACTATCTAATCCCTTAATTGCCTGCGTGACCTTACCAAGCAAATCCGGGAGTTTCGCCGCCGCCGCTGTGTACACCCCTTTGGCATAGTTGTACGCCTCCAAGAAATGAAGCGTTTTCTTTCTCAAGTCCTCAACAGCTTCTTCTAGGTTTTGCTTGTTTGTATCTTTTCTTCTAGACCCATCCACTTGATCTAAAATGCAATCAATTTTGGTTATCGCCTTATCAACTGCATCATCTGCTTTATTTATCCATCCTTCAATGTCGGTGACGTATTTTTTCAAGGCAGCATCAGCATCCCAAACTTTCCTACTTAGCATATCTATTTTCATATTTAAATCCCTAACAAAATCCCGTATTTTCTCTGTCGTAGTTGACTTGATTAAATCTCTGGCAGCATCAATCCTACTCTCAACCAATTCAGTCACCTGCTGCAAATGCCTCTTCTGAGTGTCATGGATTGCACTCAGCCTCCCACGCTGATATCTAATTATTTCAGTAGCATTATTAACATCTTTCTCCAATTCATTTTGGAGGTCTTTAATATTACTACTTTTTTGAGCGTCCATGCCGTGATAGTACTGCTGCGCCTCCATGAGACACTGGCTGACCTTAACATCAAGATCCCTGACACTATTATGATCATTATATTTTGCAACATCACTTTTCATTCTACTCATCTGTTCCATAAATGTTGTCATTCTATCCGTAATACTCTCATTCGACGCCTTCACACCCTCATTATACTTGTTCACCCCCTTGACCACTTCGCCAATCGCAGCATTAAAACCTTCTTTGCCAGAGTGTTTATTGGTGTTAAGAAGCCTTATAGCATCATTAATGTGATGACTATGTAAGCCTAATTTAGGCTTAATGTTACTTAAAACACCATGAAGGAACGCCATCACCCCGTCGCACAGCCTGTCAAGGTCAGAGTACACGATGCCATCACCCGTGTAATTACCATTACTGTAGCCGAGAAATTTTTCGAGGCCTGTGCACAATTTATCAAGTAAATCATGTGGACTCTTATTTTCATTAGTTTTCAGTGACTCAGCAAAATCACAAAGCTCTTTCAGTGTCTCAAGAGACTTCATTGAAGCATTATGAGACTGAAGATCCTTATTAAGCTTGTCAATTTCAGAGGCATTTTGAGGAGATTGATAGACATCATTAATATTAAAAAGGTGGTGAAATGGCACATTTTCAGGGCGATTTGGGGGAATTTGGAGAAAGGCGATTTTCGGTGACGGAGGCAGCGAGGGAGGTGGGTGGACAGGGTGAGGGAGGTGAAGGGGCGAAAGAGGGCGGTGAAGGAGGAAGATGGGTTGAGGAGAGGGGATTTTGGAGGTGGAGGGGAAAGTGGAAAAAGAGTGTTTGGGCGAAGGACGCCGACGGAGGAGGTGGGTGGAGGGAGGCAGGGAGCGAAGCGACCAGTGAAAGAGAGGTGAGTGGGTGATTAGGTGTGTGAGTGGTTGAGTGGTTGAGTGGGTGGGTGGTTGAGTGGGTGAGTGGTTGAGTGGTTGAGTGGGTGGGTGGTTGAGTGGGTGAGTGAGTAGGTGAGTGGGTGTGTGAGTGAGTTAGTGGGTGAAGGCACGATTATGGTGAGAAGTACTTGACGTTGGCGAGTGCCCTGACGCGTGCGGCGGCGAGGAGGGACTGCGCGGCGATGCGGTGGCTTGCGGGTGATCTCAGGTGGGAGCGTATCCTCAGGACGTCGAGGCGGACGACGGTGATGTGCAGCAGGTACAGGAGCGACAGCGACCAGAGGGCTAACAACGTTAACACAAAAGGCCATCTGATTTCTTTTAGGAAATTGTCGCACTCCTCGAACAGCTTCGTGAAATATGCTGATTCGACAACACTCTTTAACTCGTCGTAGAAATTGGAGCATGTTTTTCGTGTGCCCTCTTCATGTAACGTCCATGCATCAGGGATGATAAATCCGTAGCTGTAAAACGTTGGCGCGACACCTTTGCATTTTGCAATGGAATTGCACTGGCAATGAGGCTTTGCATCCTCATTCTCTTTCTTTTCGCTGAGTCCATGCTTGCCACGCCTGCAATTGGCGCTCTTTAAACATGAGCGGCATCCCCAGTCCTCGCAGAATATGGTATTGAATGCTTCGAGTAATTCACGCAAATAATTATGGAATGACCATGGCAGGTAAATTGCCCACGACAGATACAACTTGCCGTGTTTCTCCGCCATGTAGCGATATACAGCCGAGGAGAGTGACGATAGGTAAGGGGCGCAGGCAACGTCTTTACCTCTACTACCACAGTAACTTGAGGATGTAAGATTGGCGATGTGCGGATGCTCACATTTGCTGCAATCAGCGCCGTATGCGTCAGTAAGCGCATCTGTAAGGTTGCTTGGGTCGTCACATAGTGCGATGGACATGTCGATGATTGATGATTCAACTGACTGTTTGATCAGGCTTTTGGTTGGTGTTTTGGTTTTATGCCAACCTTTAACTAAGGACAGCGTGAAACTGAAGTGTTCAGGCAATGTGAACGGCGGCTTAGGAACGAGGCTAAATAGGGCTGGAATGTACTCGTTACCTAGGAATTCTCTAATGATGTCGCAAATGTCACGGCCGGTTTTGACACTGCCTGAGAACGCTCTGAAGCCAAGGGGCGTCATACAGGGTACACCAGGTCCGCTCTTGGTACACGTCGAACATATAGATTTACATCCCACCGATTGCAATTGGTGAGGCAAATGGCCAGGCAAACAATCATTTAAGTAAGACATTAAAGGTGAAGTTGGCTGACACGTTGGTTGACAATTTGGTTGGCACGTAGGTTGGCACTTTGATCGGCACTTTGATTCGCACGTTGATTGGTCAGTTGGATGTTCGTTACACGGCTGTTTGGCCGAAGGGACGTCTTTACCATACAGGCAATCGCCCCAACCAAAGTCTGTTGCTGGCTGACTGCACTTGCTCTCTAGGAACTGGAGAGCTGGGAATATTCTGCGTAGTATATCTAGTAACGTATGTAAACAGTCCTCACCTCTGGAGGGATATTGTAATCTGACGAAGTTGGTAGAGAAGTCAGATGCATACTTGCACTCAGCGTCGCCGGTGCCGAGTACGGCAGTCAGCAGTTGGTAGGAGCGCGACGTTATATGGTCAATCGCAGAAATAACGTTATCACGGGATATGGGTTTAGGATGGGCAGCAATTGGGACTGGAATTTTGTGTTCAGGATTGCGCTCATCCGGCTTTTCTCAAACAATGAATCACAGTGTTCACGAAGCTTATCATACACACCGTTGAACTGTAAACCGGAACACCATAACAACATCTCATAAACATTACACGGTGTTCTGGGTTTGTCAATGTAAGTGGTGTGACAAATATTGAAGTATAATTTAAGGTAGTGATGAAGCTGAGACAACACGCCGTTCTCCTCGGTGAATTCGAAGGTAGGCTCACCTGAGATAGCGCCGGTAGCGGAGGATGAAGGAAGACTAAAAAGTTTATAGTTGTCGTTGACAAGATGCTTATAGATCTGTTGACCAGTGAAATCTTTTTTGTGATTCAATTCGCCATATTCGGCGTCGTCAGGGAGATCAGAGTCATACCCGTTTTCACGGAGGAACCGGCTATGTAAGCTGTGATTAGGGTTCTTAGCGTTATATATGGTATACGTCTTCCGCTTACTATTTGATTTTTCGAGCCATTTTTTGAGCTCAGTCAAAGCGGTAAATAATGCGGGCACAATGCTGAGACAGACTTTGGCGCACATCCCCTTTTCGGGATTGTGTTCGCCATCCCAGTCTATATTTGCGTCATCGTATACGGATACGTAGGCATTCTTAAGTTGTTCGACCAAATCCGAGAAGCCATTTCGCAGAGCGTTGAGTAGCAACGGACATTTTGAGTCGCCGTATGTGGAGGGCTTGAAAGCGGTGACAGCGTTGCGAAGTGACTCCAAATTTTGAGAGAACGTGTGGTCGAAGTGTTTTGACCCGCCAAGTCCACCAACTAATTTGGCCAGCGCATTTTTGGAATTCCTTATTTCAGCGGCGGCCGGCGTGAAATCCTTCTGTTTTTCCAATGTTTTAAAGAATTCTTTGAATATGGGTTTTAACATATCCCCTGCTTTACCCAGCGGCTGCCTCTCTTTTCTGACGGACGTTGTGTCAATGCTGCCGATTTCCTTAACCAAATGCTCATGGAATGTACTCATGAACTTTTTGTGGCCTTGTTGCAGATCCTTTTCTATTTCTTGAGGCAGTGTTTTGAGTTCTTCGGTGACTTTCGCGGCGAATTTCTCGAGCAGGAATTTGATGGTGGTCACGTACTGTTTTCGGGCGTCGGTGGTGAGGGTGATGATTGCATTTTGGACGTCCTTGTCGATCTCTGCTTTCAGTAGTTTTGCAAAGTCTGTCTCGGCTTTAGTCAAGTATGTGTTGAGTACATAGTCTGTCTTGCGAATTGTTTGATCCTCCAGAGTGCTTTGCAGAGTGCTGAGCTTGTTATGCAGTTCTTGGAGACTGCCTGCGGCAGCCTTTCCTCCATTAGTCTTGCCGATCTGCTTGTCCTTAAGGTTCATCAACTGAGTATGTACTGCATTGCCGGCTTGTTCAAGCGCCCTCAACATCTGCTTGAGGGATTCAGTTATTTCCGTGGATATATGTGTGAGGGCGGTGTTGATTCCACCGGCGGTTAGCTCTACAGATCTCTTGGTGATTGCATCGACGGCCGGCGTGAGCGTGCTGGTTTTGTAGCCAGCGTACTCCGTCAAGGTCCCTTCGACGTCGATGTCTTGGATACCGCCATTCGGCATTTTTTTAAAAGTCACCGTTCCAATATTGGTTTTCAGTTCTTCTAGTTTCGTATTAATTTTACCATCAAACTCACCTACTAGCTTCTGGAGGCCGGAGACTGTCACGCCAAATTCACCGGTGCCTCCATTACTACCAGCAAGGTCGGAACATTTTCCGGCCTTTTCGTATATAGCCCCCGCTACCTCTCCCAGCTCTTCAGTTAGCTGGTCCTTAATCTTATTCATGACCGCCCCAACAACCTGGTGGGAGTGCTGGGATGCAGTATGAGCAACTTCCCGTAAGACGTTGAGGAGATTCTTAATATCTCCTTTTTCCAATTTTTCACTACCTCCATTGAGTTTTTTTGCTACACGTTGAACGTGGGAGTCATACCTTTTGAGATCGGGCGCCTTTATGTCAACACCGAGAAGTGTGTTAAGAGCATTTAATTCGGTGGATGGAAGTGTACCATTAACAAATTTCTGCACATCTTGAATTTTCTTTCTAAGTTCCTCTTTAACACTTGAAAATGCACTCTCCATCTCATCTCTGCCGACCTTAACAAGATTTCCTAACCCGGTTGCAATCTTCTCTATCGCATCCTTTACAGGCGTCATGACATCGGTGTCAAGTTTGCCAAAATAATCTTTAATAGATTTAAAAGGGTCTTCAGTTCCGCCGATTGCTTTCAGTAATTTTGCCGTAACACTGCTACCTTTTCCATTTTGAATCCCGTCAATTTTCGAAAGATCCTGTAGCTTCTCGATGTCTCCTTCCACTGCCTTAATGGCTTTGTCGATCGCATTTTTTGTATTTTCAAATGACGTTTTGAAGTTTGCCGAACTCATTTTAATAGTACTGACGGGTTCATAAATCTTCCATTCCATCCTCTTCAAATCCTTTTTAATCTCAGCATCTATCTGCTGAACGGCCGACTCAACTTTCTGCGTCATTTCCGTGACGTCCACGATGTATCCTCCAATAGTGTCTCTCCACTTATTCAACTCCTTTGCTTTTTCATTGATCCACTGCTGTTTATCATAGGTAAGACTCCCGTTAATAATTTCATTAACCTTTTTTCCCGCCTGCACTACTGTCCCGTCTGCCTCGTTTATCCATTTCTGTAACTCATTAACATACTCCTGCAGGTTTTTATTAATGCTTTTAAGCTCATCAAAAATCGTCTGAACATACTCCCTCAATCTGCTTATTAAAACGCTCACCTGCGCATCAATTTTGCAATCTACGCTTGCTTTCAATGTTCTTAAAGCTTCTTCAACTTTAGCAATCGTCGCCTGCAACACTCCTTCTTCGTGCTGCTTCACCTCCCCGAGGCGCTCATTTTCATACGCTATTGTGCCACGAACATATGTAAGCTTCATTTTTAAAGTATTATTAAGATCATTAATTGCATCTTTATGTGTGTTTTTAGTGTCACTACTGTTTAGGCTATCAGTGAATTTTGTGGATTCCGCTTGACATTCTTGCAGTGTCTTGTTGACGTCCTTGTACGCCTTGTGAAATCCCTTGTCACCATCTTCACCCGTAACCTGAATAGCATTAAGCCTATCAAACAACTCACCTCCTCTTTCTTGTCTTGTGTAGCCTTGCATCTTGAGAATTATATCCTTAACTTCCTGATTGGATCTCCTAACACCCTCATTATACTGGTTCACCCCCTGGACCACCTTGCCAATCGCTTCATTAAAACCATCTTTACCAGAGTGTTTATGGGTGTCAAGAGAGTCAATTGCATTATTTAATGTCTCTTTATGTAAGCCTAATTTAGGCTGAATGCTATGCAAAACACCATGAAGGAAAGACATCACCCCGTCACACAGCCTGTCGAGGTCGGAGTACACGATGCCATCACCCGAGTAGCCTTTGGAAGTTTCTTGGTAACCAAGGAACTTCTCCAAGCCAGAGCACAGGTTATTTAATAATTCTTTTGGATCTTTACTTTTATTGCCTTCAACATTCTCACAATGCTGACAAAGGCCTTGTAGACTTTTGAGAGAACTCATAGACTTCTGATGAGCGTCAAGAGATTTAGACTCTTTTTCAGGGAAATTATTTTTTGCTTCATTAAGCTTCTTTTCAAGTTCATTAAGCTTATTTTTAAGGTCTTCAAGTTGTACATCATTATTTTGCTTAGCATCAATTTCCTTTTTAAGGTCATTCACTTGACGTTGAGCGTCAACAACTTTCTTTTTCTTAGAGTCAAGTGCAGTAATTTTACTTTGAACAGCTTCAATTACAGTTGTAATTTGCTTTGTAAGCGCAGAACTTTGTGAGAAAATTTCTTTTTTAAGGTCATCAATTTCCTTTGTAAGCCTCTCAATCTCAGACTCACTGTCGGACGGCGTCCCTACGGGCGCCTCACTTTTTTCAGCAATATCTTTTTGCTTTTTAAGGCCATTAATTTTTGTTTCAAGATCATCATATTTCTTAAATGTATCTTGAAGATTTTTAAGGTCATCACGGAAACTCTTAATATTACAATTACACCCCTTACCTCCGCAAGATGTTTTTAAAAGCTTATCAAGCTGATTTACATTACTGTGCAAACCATTCAACAATGCATCTTTAACTTCCTCTCCACCGCCAATTAAACCCGAAAGCTGTCCAGCAAGCTGACCAAGAGAGATACGGCGGGCATCAATATCATCCAAGGCTTTCCCCCTGGCGTCCTCAGTAAGGTAATGAACGTCATTGTAATGGTTATTATTATTGGAGTGAAGGTGGATTAAGGGAGAGTTAAAAGGAGTAAAGGGGGATGAAACGGCACATTTTAAGGGCGATTTGGGGGAATTTGGGGAAAGGCGATTTTGGGTCAACGATGCTGCGAAAGATGAGGCGAGGCGGGTGACAGGCGAGGGATGCGAAGGGCGAAAGATGACGATGACTGATGAAGATGGGTGGAGCAGATCGATGCGGATGATGAAGATGGAGAAACGATGATCCAATTAGCCGACCGACGGATGATGCGACGAAGATGATGGAGAGGGCATTTAACAGCGGCGATGATGCGAGCGGTCGGCGGTGGGCGGAGCGAGCGGTGATGGCCGAGTGGGCGATGAGTGAGCGGTCGAGTGCGAGGGTGATATGAGCGGTCGATGGATGGTCGAGGGGCGGTCGAGGCGGGCGGTCGAGCGGGCGAGCCATGATCATGACGGGCGGCCGGGCGATGAGGGCGATGAGCGGGCGGGGCGATGGGCGGCGATGGCGATGATGAACGGGCTATTGGGGCGATAGCGAGCGGGCCGATGATGAGCAAGATGATGGCGGGCGGTCGATGGGCGATGGGCGGCGATGAGCACGCGATGAGCATGCGATGGCCGATGGGTCGATTACAGGCGATGAGGGCGGAGCGGGCGATGCGGGCGAGCGAGCGAGATGGCGATGAGCGAGCGGCGGATGCGGATGATGGGCGGAGGTACCGATGAGCGATCGATGAGCGGGCGATCTGGCCTGAGGTGATCAGGTGATGCGCGATCGAGGGATGACCGATGTCGATACCGAGATGGTCGATGGGCGAGTCGAGTGGCTTTTTAGTACGGTGAGTAGTGGCGAGCGGTCGAGAGTGGCTGGAGTGTTGAGTGGTTGGGTGAGGATACACTGATCACACGCGAAGGCACGATTACGGTGAGAAGCACTTGACGTTGGCGAGCGTCTGACGGAGTGCGGCGGCGAGGAGCGACGCGATGCGGTGGCTTGAGGGTGATCTCAGGTGGGAGCGTATCCTCAGGACGTCGAGGCGGACGACGGCGATGTGCAGCAGGTAAAGCAAAGAGAGGGACCAGAGGGCTACGAGAGTCCATATGAATTTAGAACGTATTTCAAACAAATATTGTGGTATAATCTTATGAACGAGCATATAAAGCGGATTGTTTGCTTTCACAACTATTTGCAATGTATTGCAGAAATCCTTGCAGGTCCTCTTATTTTCACCACTTAACGTGGCTGGACTTCTAAATGTGAAGCCGTATTTATACAGATTAGGTAGTGTATCTGGGCACTTGACAATTGACCTACAGGTAGTATGATGTTCGGCGAGTTTAGACATAGGTAATGTCGTTGCCTTGCAATCATCCCCGCACTGTGCAGTACGGCATTTCGGCTTTTCGCCGCCACACTTGCTGTTACATTCATCGTATAATTGCTTAAGTAAATCATAAAATGTTTCGGTAATATAAACTATCCACGAGAGATAGTTACCAGCACGTTTTTCGGAGAATATATCACAAACGTCATTAGTAATTGACCCCAAATATGGACCGCATGGATGCACAGGAGAGGACGATGAATCTCCCTTACATTCAACAAGTGAGAAGAGATCACCAGTGAGATGGGCAATGTTCTTCTTGTCGGTTGAATGGCTGGTGTGGGTACTACTGTTTTGTATGGATGTGACCTTGAGATCTTTATACACCTGACCGAAATTGGCTTCCTTCACCGCCTTGTCAAATGCGATTTGCTTATGCTTCCTGTTTCCGAAATTTTGCAGGAAATTGTAGTAGAAAGCAAACATATCACCAAGCGTCTGCGGGGCTCGGCGGAGGAGGCAGGTGAGATAGGAACACAGCATGTCGAGGTGAGAATCTGAACCGCAGAGATGGGAAAGTGCGTTTTTGAGGTGGGCTCCTGTTTTAGTATGCGACGCCTCCAATCCGAGGTTCGAGAAACCCATCGGTGTGAGACATGGCCTACCAAAGTGGTTGGACACTGTACACGTGAGCTTACAACCAGGGGTTTGGAACGAGTGAGGGATGAAACCAGGAAGCCCATCTTCCAAAAAGGATTGGAGAGGCGATTTCAACCCGCAGTCGTAATGTTGGTTGGTCATTTGGTCACCACTTCGGTTACATGTTTGGTTGTGCTTTTGTTCACAGTCTTGGTCGGGACATTGGAACTTATTGCAGGTCCACGACGACCCGCCGACATACCTGCCATATTGGCAGTTCGCCCAACCACCCTACTACGGCTGTTGGAACACTGGATGAATAGGAAACGCAACTGATGAAACACTCTATTCAACACATCAACTAACATATCGAAGCACGCTGATGGATTCGATGGATATAATAATTTGTCAAAGTTTGTGCGGAATTCGCAGGCGTAGCGGCCGTCGGCGTAACCATTGCCTAGGAAGGCGACTAATACAAGTTGAGAGTGTAAACAAGTCTGTTGGAGCCTATGATTTAGCTCCTTAGGCCTAATTGTTGACGTGGCATCTAAGATAAGATCTGTATCTTTGAAATCTTTATACGGCTTTGCTTCCTCTCCCTTAGGCTTGTCAAACAGCTCCTTGAAGTACTCACCGAGTTTGTCGTACATCGGATTAAAGTATAACCCGGAGAGCCACTGGAGCATTTGGTAGATATTACTCGGCGCCTTGGGAGAATCGATATGTATATGTTGGCATACATGGTAGTACTTTCGGAAAAAATCGCGAAGGAAATCGGCAAGGTCGAAGAGATGAATGTTGTCAGTGTTTATACTTATGGTAGCAGTACCTTTCTGGTTACTTATAGAAAATTTCTTTTTCTGTTCTTCCACGCACATATCCTTCCACGTTTTGAGGACTGGAATGCTGTGCGCGGCGGCAATATTCTCCGTAATTTTGCCAAAAATATTTTCACCCTTTCGCTCGTTGTTCAACTCCCCGTTTTGTGTCTTGTCATCATTCGGCACAGTGAAGCCACGGTTCTGGAACCATTGCCCGAGCTTATTTTCAACTTTCTCTGTCTTCACCATTTCAGTCAAACATATTTTCTTTTCATTCCATTTATTCTTACCGCCCGATTTACATTCATTTTGCAAATCAAACAGATCTTTTCTCAGCCCCTCCATAAGCGTCAGGCAGACCTTGGCGCAGTTGCGGCCCTCGGTGGAGAGGACTTTCTTGGTTTCTGTTTTGTCACCAACTTTTATAGTTTCATCTTCCTCCCACTGTTCTACAGGCTTAGAACCACTGTATTTATTTACGTACGCGTGGGAGAGTTCAGTGGTGAATTTGATCATGCCGGACTTGAGGGGTGATAAAAGCCTCTTCGATGCATCACCCATATTTTCTGGATGAAATGAACTTAATGCATCTTGGAGGGCTTCGCGTTTTTTGGTCACCTCATGGTGGAAGTGTTTAGATGTTTCAAGTTGTATGAGCAAATTCTGAAGATGCTCCACATAAGGATGAAAATTGGATTCCAACGGCGTGAAATCATGTTGATCATATAATCCGTAGAAGAGCACATGTGAGAATTCCCTAACGATTTCAGCGAACTGTGAGACTGTGTGAGGCTTTTGGGATTTTGTCCCAAATTCCTGTAAATGAGCATCCAACGACATTTGCAATTTGGTCAATAAACCCTTAAGGCCTCTTTGTTTATCGTGTTTGATAATACTATCGATCGCAGTGAACTCTTTCTCCACGATCTTCTGCAGGGCTTCGACTTCCTTTGTCTTGCGCTCGGTGTAGAGGGATTTGGCTTTGGATTGGAGGGAGGTGAAGGCCTGTTGGATTTTAATATTGGCGGCATCTCGCAATTGAACTATGGCCTTTTCAGTCATTTGAGAGGCATTTGCAATCAGCATTTCGGCGTCTAGAATACAAGCTGCAAGATCTGTGCTAACTTTGTCCACGTGATCGACAACATTCGCAACCTTGGTGCCAAGATCAGTCACATCCGCTTTAACCTTCAGCAAATTCGAATAAATACTGTCGCCTTCTTTTCTGTCAGCTTCCTTACCGACATTCCCTTGAAGCGTCGTCAGCTCCTGATTAATCTGAGATTTGAACTCGCTCACTAACTTCTGTAGACCGGGGGCTGGCTGGCCAACGCCGGGGCTACCGCCACCATAGTCATGCCTGTCATCCACGGTATTTTCAATGCCATTTTTTATTTTAGTAACATTAGCCTTAATAACTTTTACTACAGCCGTAACCTCCTCTTTTACTTTATCGTTAATTGCCTTAACAAGTGCCGTAACTATGTCATTGGAGTGCTGGGAGACGGCGTCGACAATTTGCGCGAGGGCGGTAAAAAGGGAACTTGTTTCTTGTTTTTGTGGTGTTTCAGAGCGCTCAACTTTCTCTATTGCAATCTGCACAGTTCCTGAAAGTTTAGGTAGTTTCGTCTTCAAATCATCAACGTCATCCGTCTTAACGCCGTATTCCTTGAGCTGGGCTATGATCTCTTGGAAATTTGGAACGGCACTTGTTCCGTCCAAGATTCCTCTCACCTTGGTAAGTGGTGCTTTAACTTCATTCAGATCTGTGGGATACAAATATGTTGAACCTTTGGCGATCGCCTCCATTGCCTCCATAACATGTTTCATAACTTGGCTGTCAAGATTGCGGAAATATGTTTTGAGTTCGGAAAACGCGGTGCCTTTTTGCATGGCTTGCAGTAAAGGAACTTGGACGTATGAATTTGCTCCCTCCATGATCTGCTCAACCTTTTCAAGTTCGTTAAGATTTCCGATATCCGTTTCCACGGCCTTTATCGCGTTCTGCAGCGCAGTATGAGTTGTACGAAATCGTTTTTCAAAACTCTCAGAATAACTCTTAAGACTTCCAACCGGACCAGCAATCTCACCTCCATACCTCTTTTCAAGCGCATTAATCCCTGCACGCACCTCACCAAACGCTATCTGAAGTTCATTCTTGACCAGTATACCTAACGCAGTAAATTTGCCAGCACGCAACCCTTCCAGCTTCTCGTGCAATGCGCCGATCTCCTTCTTCAAATATGTTCGGATCAATGCGCTTTTCTCCCGAAGGTTTTTCTTATATACTCAGTGATCTCCGTCATCTTCGTTCCGGCCACGTCAGACATACGCTTCAAATCATCACTCCTAGCGTTATCATCAAAAGTCTTCGTCGCCTGCAACAGCAATGAAATGTTATTATTTAACTTACCTGAAAGCGTAGGATCAAGATGATCCAAAGCGTTCTTGGCCTTTTCGGCCTTCTCTATGTACAACTTGGCGCGATGAGTCCAGTCCCCAACTTGTTTCTTAAGGGCGTTATGTTGCTCTTCTTCGATTAATGTTTTGTCGTGATTAATAAGCGTTTTCATTTCTCTTACAGGCGTCTTAACATCTTCACATTTCTTGTTCACCTCACTCTCATACCTCCCAAGCCACGCACTCACCTTGCCAACCTGATCAGCCAAAACGCCAGACCCCTTACCTATGGAATCATAAAGTTCCTTGAGAAGTTTATCTAATTTTTCCTCATCACGCATATTATTATCATACGTTTTGACACTATCATCCTCCTTCACAGTCTGAAGAACTCCATGAAGGAAAGACATCACCCCGTCGCAGAGTCTGTCGAGGTCCGAGTACACAATTCCTCCTCCAGTGTAATTACCATTACTGAAGCCGAGAAATTTTTCGAGGCCTGTGCAGAGGTTATTTAATAATGTTGTTGAAGGATTATTTTAGGCACATTTTCAGGGCGATTTGGGGGAATTTGGAGAAAGGCGATTTTAGGTCAAGGAGGCAGCGAGGGAGGTGGGTGACTGAAGTGAAGGGGCGAAAGAGGGCGATGAGGGAAGAAGATGGGTTGAGAAGAGGCGATTTCGGAGGTGGAGGGGAAAGGTGGAAAATGAGGATTTGGGTGAAGGACGCCGACGGAGGAGGTGAGGGAGGGGGGAGGCAGGGAGCGAAGCGACCAGTGAAGGAGGGAGGTGGTTGAGTGAGTGAGTGGGTGGGTGATTAGGTGGTTGAGTGGTTGAGTGAGTGAGTGGGTGAGTGCGTGGTTGAGTGAGTGGTTGAGTGGGTGAGTGAGTGGGTGGGTGGTTGAGTGGTTGAGTGGTTGAGTGAGTGAGTGGGTGAGTGGGTGAGTGCGTGGTTGAGTGAGTGGTTGAGTGAGTGAATGGGTGGGTGAGTGGTTGAGTGGTTGAGTGTGTGGTTGAGTGGGTGAGTAGTTGAGTGGGTGAGTGGTTGAGTGGTTGAGTGGTTGAGTGGGTGAGTGGGTGGGTGGGTGGTTGAGTGATACACAGATCACACGTGAAGGCACGATTATGGTGAGAAGTACTTGACATTGACTATTTTCCCAACGCGTGCGGCGGCGAGGAGGGACTGCGCGGCGATGCGGTGGCTTGAGGGCGATCTCAGGTGGGAGCGTATCCTCAGGACGTCGAGGCGGACGACGGCGATGTGCAGCAGGTACAGGAGCGACAGCGACCAGAGGGCGATCAGGGTGTAGATGAAATTGGAGCGTATTTCAAACAAATATGCTGGAATTAACTTATGTACTAGGTTGTATAGCACATTGCCTTCTTTAATTACAATGCCTAATGCTGTGCAAAAGTCTTTGCACGTTCTCTTCTGACCTTCCGTCTTGCTTTCACCACTTAGGTTCCATGGGCTCCCAAGAGTGAAGCCATATGTATACAGTGTCGGATGTGTATTTTTGCATCTGACAATGGCATGGCAATCCGATTGATGTTCTGCTGTAGATAGTTGATTTGAAGTTGGTTGACTAATTTTTGATTTTTCTGCTTTATAAGCTAATTTCACTGCACAATTATCAACACAGCATTTGTCGTAGCATCTGGTGCCTGGTTTATTGCAATTATTGCAACAATCTTCATATAATTTCTTAAGTAAATCATAGAAAGTCTCTGTCATATATACTATCCAAGAGAGGTACAAGCCAGCCTGTTTCACGTAAAATGTGCAACGCACATCGAGAGAGATGGTCTGGAGATATCGGCCGCAGGGCATGTTTGGTTTTGAATTAAGGTTACAATATAAAAGGCCGAATAGGTCCCCCATGTTATGTTTACTATTAGAGTGCGTACTGCTACATAAGATAGTAGTTGGATCTAAGCCAACGTAAGGACGTCCAAAGTTGGCAGCGGTGACGGCATTTTGAAATGCTTCCTGCTTATGCTCCTTGGCAGTTTTTTTATCACCATCATAATGTCCGCCCCAATGCTCAAGGAAGTTATAATAAAATGCAAACATGTCACCAAGATTCTGAGGAGGCCTACGAATAAGACACGTGAAGAAAGCGCAGAGCATAGTGAGTGGTTCCCTTGCTGAACTACAGAAAGGTTGAAGAAGAGATTTCAGATGGGCACCCGTTTTTGTATGCGACGCTGCAATACCAATATCGGTGAAGCCCATCGGTGTGATACATGGAATACCTCTGTGATCACGCACTGAACATGTTAACTTACAACTGGGCAAAGTGAATGTATGTGGGAGGAAGCCTGGAAGACCGTCTTCCAAATATGCTTGGAGGGGAGATTTTATACAGCACTTAGGGTGTTGTTCACACGTTTGGTTAGCTATTTGGTTGGCACTTTGGTCACCCTGTTGGCCAGGGCATTGGAGCTTATTACAGCTCCAGTTGGACCCACCGACGTGCCTGCCGTAATGGCAATCACGCCAGCCGCTACTATCAGGACCATTGCAGCACTGTGTATATAGGAAATGAAGTTGGTAATTAAGTCTTAAACATATATCTACGAGCATATCAAAACATTTACTGATGTCATTAGGATATTCCAAATTGTCTGGGTTGGTATAAAATTCGCAGGCATAACGGCCGTCAGCATGGCCATGGCCTACGAAAGCACGTAATATTTCATATGAGCGCAGGGTTACAGTGTTGAATAAGTCTTTAATGTTTTTAATGCTGACGGTTGCTTTCATCGTCCAGGCGTCCCTATATGGCGCGGCGACGTCAAACGAATCGCTTGATAATTTATAGTCATTAGTTGATGCCTTAAACCATGTGTCGAAGTGCAATCGCAATTCATTGTACATCGGGTTCCACTGGATTGCGGAGAGCCAATATAGCATTTGGCATATGTTGGTAGGAGGCTTGGCGCCTGGGATATGACGTAGATGGCATGCGTGGCGGTACTTGTCGAGTATATGGTAAAGGTAATTAACTAGTTTGTTAAGTTTTATGCTCTTATGGGTAATGCCTAAATCAAGCCTTTTCAAGACGTCTAGGAGACCAGTGTTTGAAATATCAATTTCCTTTTCACATAAAGTATTAATTGCGCTGCCGTTCTTGTCACTGTGAGTCTTTAATTCACCATCCTGTTTACCTTCATCGGCGGACACCTTGTATCCTAATTGCTCGAAGTATATTCCAAGTGGATTTTTGATTTTTTCTGTCTGCCCCTTTGCTGTTATTCCGCCAGGCTTATTAACCATTCCTACATGAATTTGTTTGTCTCCATGTGAACCACATGATGATTTCATCTCGTCCCACTTATCGCTGAGAATGTCAAATACGGTAAGGCAGATCTTAGCGCAGTTGCGGCCCTCGGTGGATAACTGGGTTTCAGACGTTTTCGCTTGTGTATCAGCACCAATAATTTTCTTTTGTTCTGTCAACTGCTTAAATGTTACACCGTCATACACGTTAACGTAGGCGTAGCTGAGTTGCTTAAGGAAATCCTGAAGGCCATATTTTAGGATGTCTAGTAGGGGATTGGTGGGGGCGGAGTACGAAGCGGGGCGGATGGTGGAGAGCAGGGCGTGGAGGGCGGAGAGATGTTCTTGGAAGGTGGTGTCAAAAATGTATTTTCTACTCGCATTATCATGATCACTAAGATGATTAAGTAAATTGTCTAATTTGCTTTTCATAGTGCTGAGGTGCTCTACACAGGGATGTGGATCCTTTTCGGTGACCTGGACTGGGGGATTTCTCTTCTTCACGTTTTCAGTGTGCTCCCTTTTGGTTTCACCGAGGATATACGTGTTGATGTGATTGTACCATTTTTGGAATTCTGCAGATAAAGTTTTGAAGAGTTTTGCTTTCTCTTTGGCTGACTCAACTGACAAATCTGCAAGACCTTTGAGCAAATTAATGTGATCCTGCGTCGTATTATTTTCGTTAATTGTGCCTTCAAAGGTTCTCATAAAACCCTTGAAGCCCTCCCTGCGGTCGGTGTCGATATCCTTAGGCAGAGGCTGCAGTATCTTTTCAACTCTGCTAGCAAATGCATTCAGCATCTCTTTGACTGACGTCACGTAATTTTTGTTGGCAAGGGTGATGAGTTGGTCTTGGGCGGTGTTAGCTTGCTGCTCTACATGTCTGTCCAGCGCACTGATGGTTGAATCACGTAGTTGTTTGGCTTCCTTTTCGAAGACCGTTGCCAAGTTGACGACAGGCTCCAATTTCTCACGAAGCAAGGTGACGAGATCGTCGTAGATTTTTTGCAGAGTGCCTTCCACAGCTTTGGCGCCACCGAGATACGTCCTACTGATTTTACTATTCTTCAAACCTTCTAAGGTTTCTTTCACTGTTTTGCCTTTCTCAGCGAACGCATCTAATATCCCCGTGAGATTCTTGGTGATCTGCTCGGATAATTTGCTGAATATTTTCCCAGTCTCTGCAGCTTCGCTCGCAAATCTGAAGTCATCTGCTGCCCTGGTCTTAATCCCTTCGAGCGCCCCCTCAATCTCCGCCTTGATCTTCAAGAGGCCTTTGGTAGATGTCTTATCGCCGTCTCCCCAAGTGTTATCATTTTGACTAAGAGCAGTGGTTTTCAACGTAGTCAACAATTGCGTGAGGCCATCTTCATCTGGCAGCTGCAGTTTCGGCGCCGGCTTATCCTTATCGACGTAGTGGGCGATGGCTTGGAGCTCTTGTTCGATGGTGGTGAAGTGCTTGGTGACTGCTGTGGTGGCTTTAGAGACTGTGCCGGAGTCAAGTGGGTCTTCGCTATTGAAAGCCTTCATCTTCTTGAAAGCGCTCATGGCTTTGGGAATGTCTTTATGGAGCAAGTTGTGATATTTATGCTCCCCTCCCCCGTCATTACCTTTCTTTTGCTTATATGTCGACATGACGTCTTCAACATTTATTTCACCACTTGTATCCTTCATTGCTGTCTTAACCTGTTGCTGAATCTCATCAACTTTTTTGGCAAGAGAGTCACCGTTATGGGCTCCTGGGTTAGCACCGTCCCCCGTCTGTTCATGCGCCGTGGTGAGACTACTGTGAAGCTTGTTAGCATTTTCCGACGCCTCCTTAAGATTCTTAATGTTTGACGTTTCGATCAATGTCTGCAGTTCCTTGGCGGCGTTTGAAATTGCGCTGAATACGGCCATTGATATTATGTTTACTGGATGCTGAAGATGCGATCTGTAGTTATGTGTTTGAGGCGTGGATGGCTTCAGCCCTAATTTGCCTTCAAGATCCCCCTCCATTAGGGTGGGCGTCATAGTGAGCTCCTTATTCTGAATGTTCTGAGCGAGATTAGCAAACTGACTCTCTATTCTAGTTAGGTCCAGTTCACCATTGATGCCGGCCTTTTGAGCAGACTCCGAAATAGCCTGTTGAATCAATTTTGGTAGTTCTGTAATGATTTTCTGTTTGACATCATGCAGCTCCTTCTTAGTATTCTTAGCATAATAATCCAAATATGCACGAATTCCGCTGCTTTTCACAATCCTCCCAACCATATCCTTAATCGCCGTCTCTAACTTCTTACTAGTGCCAAACTCTGTGACGTATTGCGCCAGTCCTTGAACGATCCCCTCCAACCCTGTGTTTTTACTTCCCTCCCCCTTAATGCTCTCCACTCTCCCCTTAATATCACCAAGCATACTGCCAACATGCTCCTTCATCTTACTAACAATATCCTTTTGCAGCCTCTGCAAATCATCTTTCATGCCTTTTTCTAAGTCTTCAATGGCCTCTGTGACTTTCTGTCCCAAACCCGTAACTTTTTCATGTGTCGACTGGTAAGCGGTCAAAAGGTCCGTGGCCTTTTCTTTTAATTTCTCTGCTTCCTTGTGAATTTCACCGTCCTTACTTTTTTCTGTCTTAACTTTCTCCAAAATATCTCCACACTTCCCCTGCGCCTTCACGATCACAGCGTCCGCCGCGTCTTTCCATTTTGTTAGCTCGTTGACTTTATCTTTTTTTGCTGACTCAACGGACGTACCAACTTGATTATTCGCATTCTCAAATTGCTTGTAAACATATTCAGCTTTTAGTCCCAAATCCTTAGCCTTCTGCTTAAGCTCATCATCTTTTGGCCATGCAAGACCCTTATCCGCAACTCCTTTTACGTTCGTTATTGCCTTATCCACAACTTTCTCAGCCTCCTTCATCCACTCCGCCAGTTTTCCAACATAGTTCCAAAGCGTAGCACTAATGCTCTTAAGCAATTTCAAGATCTCTGAAACCTTTTTATTCAAATCCTCGACAAGCTTATTGACTTTGATTCTAATTTCATCATTCACACATCTTATGAGTGATCGAAATGCACCAGCAATTTTACCTGTCATCGCATCCAGGTTATCTTTCTGCCTTTTGGTCAACGTCTTAAGCCTGTCAGTCTCATGTGAAATGTTCTCTATGGCACTATCGATTTTGTCACGTAATGTAGAATTCAAGTCTTTGAATTCTTGCTTGCGCTCAGCTTTAAAGCCTCTGCGCTGTGGTATTCTATCATCAAAGCTGCCATTGAAATTATCGCTTTTCTTGGCATATTCGTTCGCTAAGTTCTCGGCCGTGGTCACAGCAGCTTCAACCTTCTCGACTTCCTCCGGCGTGAAATTATTCAGCGTACCTGCATCAGAATGATCCTTTAAAATTCCACTCACCTGGCTTTGAAGAGTCTTCATATTCTTCTGCATCTCTTCTATCTTCTCCTTGACACTCTCATTAGATCTCTCCACTTCCCTATTATACTCCCGGACACCCTGCGCCACCTGGCCAATGACACTCTTAAAACCATTATGACCTGAACATAATTTATCTTTCAAAAGCTTCACAACACCTTTTAATTGTGTTTCTTTACCAACACTGTAAGGCTGTTTATCGTGGACATCTTTGAGAACGGAATGCAAGAACGCCATCACCCCGTCGCAGAGCCTGTCAAGGTCCGAGTACACGATGCCGGAGCCAGTGTAATTACCATTCTGGTAGCCGAGAAATTTTTCGAGGCCTCCACAGAGGTTATTTAATAATGTTGTTGAAGGATTCTCATCTTGTTGAATTTTACTAAGTGAATCAGCATATCCACAAAGCTGATTCAGTGTCTCAAGAGACTTCATGGATGCCTGATGAGACTGAAGATCCTTATTAAGCTTTGCAATTTCAGAGGCATTTTGAGGAGTTTCATTACGTTTTATACGCTCTTTATCAGCGTTATTAAGGCTTTCAATTTCATTTTCAAGCCCCTGAATTTTTTTAGGAATTTCATCATTAAGCTTATTTAAGGGACCATCAGATGGATTTAACTTGCACTTAGTAAGGATGTCGGCAAGATTTACAGAGGGATTTTGATCATCTTTAAGGTGTTTTTTAAGTTTATCATTGACTTCATTAAGCTGGTTTTTTTCAACATACTTACAACACCCCTCATCTCCGCAAGATGTTTGTAAACGCTTAATAAGCTCATTTACATTACTCTGCAAACCCTTTACAAGAGCATTTTTGACTTCATTTCCACCGCCAATAAATCCCGAAAGCTGTCCAGCAAGCTGACCAAGAGAGATGCGGCGGGCATCAATATCATCCAAGGCGCTTTGTCTGGCATCCTCAGTAAGGTAATGGACATCATTATAATGTTTTTGCTTGTTGGATTAAAGGTGGATTAGGGGGGAGTGAAAAGAAGTAAAGGGGCATTATTTTAGGCACATTTTCAGGGTGATTTGGGGGAGTTTGGAGAAAGCCGATTTTAGGTCAGGGAGGCAGCGAGGGAGCGAGGGAGGTGGGTGGACAGGGTGAGGGAGGTGAAGGGGCGAAAGAGGGCGATGAAGGGGGAAGATGGGTTGAGGTAAGGCGGTTTCGGAGGTGGAGGGAGAAAGCGGAAAATGAGGATTTGGGTGAGGGACGCCGACGGAGGAGGTGAGTGAGGAGGAGAGAGGGAGCGAAGCGACCAGTGAAGGAGGGAGGTGGTTGAGTAGGTGGTTGAGTGGGTGAGTATGTGAGGGAGTGGGTGGGTGAGTAGGTGAGTGGGTGAGTGGGTGGGTGAGTGGGTGAGTGAGTGGGTGGGTGGTTGAGTGGGTGGTTGAGTGGTTGAGTGGGTGGTTGAGTGGTTGAGTGGGTGGGTGAGTGGGTGAGTGGGTGAGTGGGTGAGTGGTTGAGTGGGTGGTTGAGTGGGTGAGTAGATGAGTGGGTGGTTGAGTAGGTGAGTGAGTGAGTAGGTGAGTGGGTGGGTGAGTGGTTGAGTAGTAGGTGAGTGGTTGAGTGGGTGGTTGAGTGGGTGGTTGAGTGGTTGAGTGGGTGGGTGAGTGGTTGAGTGGTTGAGTGGGTGGGTGATTAAGTGGGTGATACACAGATCACACGTGAAGGCACGATTATGGTGAGAAGTACTTGACGTTGGCGAGTGCCCTGACGCGTGCGGCGGCGAGGAGGGACTGCGCGGCGATGCGGTGGCTTGCGGGTGATCTCAGGTGGGAGCGTATCCTCAGGACGTCGAGGCGGACGACGGCGATGTGCAGCAGGTAGAGGAGCGACAGCGACCAGAGGGCTAGCAACGTATTCATGAACGGTGATCTTATGTAGTAGAGGACGTCATCGCATTTTTGCAATAGTGTTTTGAAATGTTCCGATTCGATGACGGCTTTAAGTTTACCATAGAAATTATGGCAGAACCTTTTGTCTGGATTCGCCATTAGAGTTTTGGAATCACCAAATGTGAATCCATAGTTGTTTAGTATCATGCGTACGCCATGGCACTGCACATAACTCTTGCAGGTACACTGGAATTGGAGTCCATGTTTTCCTACTGCGCAATTACATGCCGAGCATCCACCGGCTTTGCAGTCGATATTGCAGAAGGCTTCAAACAATGATTTGAGAAGATTGTAAAAATCAAAAGGCAAATAAGTGAGCCATGACAGATAAAGATTTGCGTGCTTGGTAGCATATGTGTGATGCGCATCAGCACAGAGAGGTTTGAGGTAGGGAGCGCATTGGCCGTTAGGAACAGAACATCTGTCTGCTGGATGCAAAGTGATTTGCGTGCAGAGGCTATACAAGTCACAGTGAGTGGACTTGTCAGTTTTCGTTACAGGGTGATCAGACGTTGGACCAGATAATGATTTTAATTGGTTAGTGAAATTTGTGGCTTCATCGGCATACAGCTTCATGGACATTGCAGGAATTATTTTCGTATTCATATGGTTCACCAATCTGTCGCTGGTAGAAAACCTGCCAGATGACCACTGTCTGAAGATATTGGTGAAGAATGAGAATTGATCTGCCAGAGATTTAGGCGGCATCGGTGATACTTGCATCAAATAATTAAGCAGCGTAGGTAGCGGCGAGTCTGCATTACCGCAAAATTCGGAAAGCACATTGCATATATCTTTGCCCGTACCATTCTTGGATCCGGCATGAGTCAAATCCCAGAAGCCCATAGGCGTCAAACATACCATGCCAGGTGACTGCTTAGGGCATGTCGAACACTTGGATGTGCAGCCAACAGAGGATAGTTTGTGAGGCAAGTGGCCTGGTAACCCGTCCATTAGGTGAGCCTGTAGAGGTGATTTTGGATAACAAGTTGTTTGGTCATTTGGTTGGCACTTTGCCTGGCACTTTGGTTCGGTGTTTGCTTGGCACATAGGTTTGTCGACTGACTTCTTGCAGTCCCACTGGTAACCGGAAACTTTGCCGCCGTATTGGCAGTCACGCCAACCGTTGCCATCGGCTACGGTGTATCTACACTGCGAATACAAAGAATATAGAGCACGTAGCAAACGCGGACATATTGCATTTAACATATCGAACAACTCAGAAGCTCTTTGAGGATAGTAAAAGTTACGTGAATTATCACAGAAATTAGAGGCGTAAGGATAGTCGGCAGTTGGGGCACCGTGGCCGTTACCGCAGATGGTAGTGAGGGTTTCGTAAGAGTATTGACAGGTGTGCGCTATGTATTTAACAATACCGGTTTCAAGGATTGGTCTAAGAACAGGATCCTCCTTATTCGGGTATTTATCTGTGCCATTTATTTTCTCGTTGAGCATTGTGTTACAATGTGTCTTAATGCTATGATAGACTGCAGTGTACGGGAGTCCGCACATCCAACCAAGCATATCACGAATGGTGCATGGAGATTTAGGGGCAGTAGGAATTCTAGTGTGACAGACACTGTAGTAAGTGGCTAAGTGACGGTAGAGCAGGGACATCGGTCCCCATTCTCGCCTAATGGAATTAAGGTATGTACCGACGTCAGAATACCTGAGATCCGAAGGGGTGTCGAAATCGTCGTAATTTGAAAACGCCGTCTTCAGCTTCTCGGCGACTTCCTGACCTGTGTGATTTTTGTTAATGAGGGATGCAGCCTGGTAGCCTTGACTCTCCAAATATTTTTTAAAGTCTCCTATATGCTTCGTCGCTTTCTCGCTGCCGTCAATTTTCAGTTTGCTCCAGTCTTTGTGGCAACTGTAGAACAAGTGATAAAGTTCCTCATAAAGCGTTGACGTAGAGGTAAGCATAATTTTAGCGTACTTGTCTGCGTGATTCTTCTTCCAGTCTTCGCCGGAATACTTGTTAACATACGCCTTTTCCAGTTGATCTGCCAACGCATCAATTCCTTCCTTGAGGCTCTGCAGCAGCGTTGTAGAGGCTTCGCCGAATTTGTGAGGAACGGTTTGGGCAAGCGTAGTTTGAAGTGCATTTAGGTTGTCGCTGAAATGATGGTCAAAGTGCTGAGAGTCTCCAAGCTGCTTGAGCAATTTGGTTAGAGTGGCCTTGAAAGTCTCCACATTCTGGTAGTCGAAGCGGAAGTCTGTCTGTTTTTGCAGGTCTGTGAAGAATGTCGCGAAATATTCGTTCACTTTTTTGGCCAAGTGAGCAAGTTTGTTTTTTTGTAGAGGTGAAGTGTTTAAAAACTTAATGAGTGGATCGATGAAATCATCTTTCATCTTGCTTAAGAAGCCTTTTGCACCGGTATTTTTATCCTCTAGAATAATGTCCTTAATCTGCCTAAGCTGCCTTTCTACTAAAACTTTCAAAGCCGACAGGTCGGCTAGTTTTTGCTCTGCGAATAGACATTGAACCTCCGTGGTGAGGGCTTCGAATGCGTTAGTGACGGCTTGTTGAGAATTTTTATACGCGTTTTGTAGTGCGCTGTGGAGTCCACTAATAGCGTTGTCCAACGCCTCACTTGCATTTGCGACTGCTTTCTCTATATCTGAAAGCTTCGCGTTAAGTTCATTTCTCAAAGAATCCATTAGTTTGACTGCTTTCCTCCTTTGGTCTTCAACGGTGGTGAGCACGGTTTCAAGTTGCTTTATTTTGCCGAGGATGGAACTCATGTCATCTCCGTATACACCAGACAACGTTTCACGTTGTAGCTTGTCGATTTTTATTAGAATCTTGTTGAGTTGGTCATCTATCTGATGCGTTTTCAAATGATGAAAATTCAAAATGACGTCTTTTCCTTTGTCGGAAAAGGCCTTAGTAAGCTTCTCGATATTCTCCTTAATCGCTTCGGACCATCGTTGGAGTTCTTGCTTCGTTCCATCTGCGTTAATGACTGTTGTCTTGCCTGCTATGGCGGTGAGGGCATCGTCAATGTCACCATGAATGTATTTGTTATAGTGTTTCATGACATTACCGACATAATCAGTTTTCTTGTCAGCCCCAAGGAATCGAGTTCCAATGCTTGTTTGAAGATCTTGAACGATGGCCGTATACGCTGTCATACCACTGGCTAGACCGTTATCTGCGTTTGCTGAGTTAGTAAGGGCTTGGAGAACGTAGGGAATAACAGTCTTGTCGGCATTCATAGTGATACCACTTACTTTACCATTCTGTACCGCCTCAAGCCAGCCTCTCAATCTACTTGTAGTGCCCAATTTGGACACAAGAGCGCCAAGATCGCCAGTCTTACCTTCCTTAGCAGCTAAATATAATTTACCCATGTATTGGCCAATCACAATTTTAATTTCGTCCCTTAATCCCTTCAAATCATCTTTACATTTGCTGTCCAACTCCTTGATCTTCTGTCTAGTCTCTGTGACCTTCTGTTTTATTTCGTTTTTCAGATCTTCAATATGATTCTGTAGCTTTTCTGTCCACTCTTCCATCTCCTCCGCCTTCTGCTTAATGGTCTCTTGCCTATCCATTCCAACTGCTGTCTTAATAATCTTCATGACTTGCTTCTCCGCAAATTCGATGTCTTCGTTAGTGTTCCTAGTCCAATTTTCAAGTTCTCCAACATAGTGGCCAAGCTTGTTATTAATGTCTCCCAACTTACTTCGTATGTTGTCAACATCCTTCCAAAACTTCGAATTTTCTGAGCCGTCGCCACCAGTGTTCGTGTTCTTCGGGTCCAGGTCTAATAGTTCTTTGTTTATTTCATTAAAATATTCTTGAAGTTTGTCAGAATACTCCCAGTTAAACATGTCCATCTGACTTTTGATGAGTGCAATAGCAACACTAATATGCCTGAACTTCTCTTTTTTAACTGCTTGCAACGTCGCCAATTTTTGATCAATATTTCCAAATCCATTATCTAATGTGTCTCTAACCGTTTTTTCCTGCTTAAGCAGTTCTTCATCCACCTGTTTCACCTTAGCCTTATATGCCTTTTCCTCCGCCGACTGTTTCAACAACCATAGCGCACCTCTAACATCATGCATCTCACGCTTTATTTTGTGTTTTAAACATCTATCTAATACATTAATTTGTTGTTTTTCTATATTATCAAGTTCATTCTCAATCTTCTCCGTCGTCCCCTTCCACTTGTCCAGTTGCACTTGAAGCTTCTGACGTCCTTGCCCTGCAACTTCCTTATAATAATCACCTGAAACAGATGATAATTTATCACTTAACTTACCTAATGCGTCTGTCACTCCAGCTGTTTTGGTCTGCAACTCGCCATGATATTTTGCAATCCACCAGCTCACGTCGGCTAATGTCTTCTCGAAGTCTTCCGGCCCGGTACCTGAATAAGAATGTAAATCACTAATAAGCTTACCTATTTTAGGGGCTTGAACATCTTTATCATACGTTTTAACACTCTCATCATCTTTAACACTCTCCAATACCCCGTGCAAAAACGCCATCACCCCGTCGCAGAGCCTGTCAAGGTCGGAGTACACGATGCCTTCTCCGGTGTAATTACCATTCTGGTAGCCGAGAAATTTTTCGAGGCCTGTGCAGAGGTTATTTAACAATGATATTGAAGGATTATTTTAGGCACATTTTCAGGGCGATTTGGGGGAATTTGGGGAAAGGTCAAATTAGGTCAAGGAGGCAGCGAGGGAGGTGGGTGGACAGGGAGAGGGAGGTGAAGGGGCGAAAGAGGGCGATGAAGGAGGAAGATGGGTTGAGGTAAGGCGATTTCGGAGGTTGAGGGGGAAAGTGGAAAATGAGGATTTGGGTGAAGGACGCCGACGGAGGAGGTGATGGAAGGGGGTGAAGGGAGGGAGCGAAGCGACCAGTGGAAGAGGGAGGTGAGTGAGTATGTGAGTGGGTGAGTGGTTGAGTGGTTGAGTGAGTGGTTGAGTGAGTGAGTGAGTGGTTGAGTGGTTGAGTGGTTGAGTGGTTGAGTGGGTGGTTGAGTGAGTAGGTGGGTGAGTGGTTGAGTGAGTGGTTGAGTGGTTGAGTGGTTGAGTGGTTGAGTGAGTGGGTGGTTGAGTGGGTGGTTGAGTGGTTGAGTAGGTGGGTGATTAGGTGAGTGAGTGGGTGGTTGAGTGGGTGGGTGGGTGGTTGAGTGGTTGAGTAGGTGGGTGATTAGGTGAGTGAGTGGGTGGTTGAGTGGGTGGGTGGTTGAGTGGTTGAGTGGGTGGTTGAGTGGGTGGTTGAGTGGTTGAGTGGGTGGTTGAGTGGGTGGTTGAGTGGTTGAGTGAGTGGTTGAGTGGTTGAGTGCGTGAGTGAGTGGTTGAGTGAGTGGTTGAGTGAGTGGGTGGGTGGGTGAGTGAGTGGGTGGTTGAGTGAGTGAGTGGTTGAGTGGGTGAGTGAGTTGGTGGTTGAGTGGTTGGTTGAGTGGCTGAGTGAGTGAGTGATTAGGTGAGTGGTTGAGTGGGTGAGTAGTTGAGTGAGTGAGTGGTTGAGTGGTTGAGTGGGTGTGTGATTAGGTGAGTGGTTGAGTGGTTGAGTGAGTGGGTGATTAGGTGGGTGAGTGAGTGAGTGTTTGAGTGAGTGAGTGGTTGAGTGGGTGAGTGGGTGAGTGGGTGAGTGAGTGTGTGAGTGGTTGAGTGGGTGGGTGGTTGAGTGAGTGGGTGAGTGAGTGAGTGGGTGATACACAGATCACACGTGAAGGCACGATTATGGTGAGAAGTACTTGACGTTGGCGAGTGCCTTGACGCGTGCGGCGGCGAGCAGGGACTGGGCGGCGATGCGGTGGCTTGCGGGTGAGCGCAGGTGAGAGCGTATCCTCAGGACGTCGAGGCGGACGACTACGATGTGCAGCAGGTAGAGGAGCGAGAGCGACCAGAGGGTGAGTAAGAGGAAAGTGAAGAAGTTGAGAAATGTTGAAGGAATATTTAATGCACATTTTCAGGGCGATTTGGGGGAATTTGGGGAAAGGCGATTTTAGGTCAAGGAGGCAGCGAGGGAGGTGGTGGACAGGGCGAGGGAGGTGAAGGGGCGAAAGAGGGCGATGAAGGGGGAAGATGGGTTGAGGTAAGGCGATTTTGGGGGTGGAGGGAGAAAGTGGAAAATGAGGATTTGGGTGAAGGACGCCGACGGAGGAGGTGAGGGAGGGGGTGATGGAGCGAAGCGACCAGTGAAGGAGGGGGTGAGTGGTTGAGTGGGTGGTTGAGTGGGTGGGTGAGTGAGTGAGTGGGTGAGTGGTTGAGTGGGTGGTTGAGTGAGTGAGTGAGTGGTTGAGTGAGTGGTTGAGTGAGTGGGTGGTTGAGTGGTTGAATGAGTGGGTGAGTGGGTGAGTGGGTGGGTGAGTGAGTGAGTGAGTGGGTGAGTGGGTGGGTGAGTGAGTGAGAATGTGAGTGAGTGAGTGGGTGGTTGAGTGGGTGGGTGATTGAGTGGGTGATTAGGTGAGTATGTGAGTGATTAGGTGAGTGGGTGAGTGGGTGGGTGAGTGAGTGGTTGAGTGAGTGAGTGGGTGGGTGAGTGAGTGAGAATGTGAGTGAGTGAGTGGGTGGTTGAGTGGGTGGGTGGGTGAGTGGGTGAGTGGGTGAGTGGGTGGTTGAGTGGGTGGTTGAGTGGGTGGTTGAGTGAGTGAGTGGGTGAGTGGTTGAGTGGTGAGTGAGTGAGTATGTGAGTATGTGGTTGAGTGGGTGAGTGGGTGAGTGGGTGGGTGGGTGAGTGAGTATGTGGTTGAGTGGTTGAGTGGGTGAGTGGGTGAGTGGGTGGGTGGGTGAGTGAGTATGTGGTTGAGTGGTTGAGTGGGTTAGTGAGTGAGTGATTAGGTGAGTGGGTGAGTGAGTGGGTGAGTGGTTGAGTGGGTGGGTGAGTAGGTGGGTGAGTAGTGAGTGGTTGAGTGGGTGAGTGGGTGAGTGGGTGAGTGGTTGAGTGGGTGAGTGGTTGAGTGGTTGAGTGGTTGAGTGGGTGGTTGAGTAGGTGAGTGGGTGAGTGAGTGTGTGAGTGGTTGAGTGGGTGGGTGGTTGAGTGAGTGGGTGAGTGAGTGAGTGGGTGAGTGAGTGAGTGGTTGGGTGAGTGGTTGGGTGAGTGGGTGAGTGAGTGAGTGAGTGGGTGAGTGGTTGAGTGGGTGAGTATGTGAGTGAGTGGGTGGGTGGTTGAGTGGTTGAGTGATTAGGTGAGTGGTTGAGTGATTAGGTGAGTATGTGAGTGGTTGAGTGGGTGGTTGAGTGGTTGAGTGGGTGAGTGGGTGGGTGAGTGGGTGGTTGAGTGAGTGGGTGAGTGAGTGGGTGAGTGGGTGGTTGAGTGAGTGGGTGAGTGGGTGGGTGAGTGGTTGAGTGAGTGAGTGGGTGGGTGAGTTGGTTGAGTGAGTGGGTGAGTGGGTGGTTGAGTGGTTGAGTGGTTGAGTGAGGTGAGTGGGTGAGTGGTTGAGTGGTTGAGTGGGTGGTTGAGTGGGTGAGTGGGTGGGTGAGTGGTTGAGTGAGTGGGTGAGTGGGTGGGTGGTTGAGTGGTTGAGTATGTGGTTGAGTATGTGAGTGAGTGGGTGAGTGAGTGATTATGTGAGTGGGTGAGTGGGTGGGTGAGTGATACACAGATCACACGTGAAGGCACGATTATGGTGAGAAGTACTTGACGTTGGCAATTTTCCCAACGTTTGCAACGGCGAGCAGTGACTGCGCGGCGATGCGGTGGCTTGCGGGTGATCGCAGGTGGGAGCGTATCCTCAGCACGTCGAGGCGGACGACGGCGATGTGCAGCAGGTACAGGAGCGACAGCGACCAGAGGGCTAACAACAGATAGGAGAAGGGTGTACGTATTGCCCAGATGAATTCGTCACATTTTTCGAAGAGGTCTGTGAAATATTGAGAATCAAGAACTCTCTTCAACTGAGTGCAGAAATCGGAACACCTTTTAGGTTTGTTACCATCATTCAGTATTAAAGGATCTTTAAAGCTGAACCCATACTGGTAGAGCGTTGGCGAAACTCCTTTACACTCGACGATGGATGAGCAATTACATGCTGATTTTTCATCGGTGAGGCCATGCTTGCCATTCTTACAATTGCGGCCGCGGAGACATCCACGGCATCCCCAGTCTCGGCAGTTGATTGAACAGAATGCGTTATATAAATTGTTGAGTAGATCCCAAAATGTCCATGGAAGGTATATGGCCCAGGAGAGGTATGTCTTCGAATGCTTCAGAGTCATGTATTTATACGTGTCGTAAGAGAGGGTAGATATATACGGAGCGCAATAAAGGTTATTGTTGCAGGCACCCGAAGATGTAAGATTTATTAGATGAGCATTATCGCATTCGGACTCAGCAGCTGTGCAATGCCCGTATGCGTTGTTAATGGCATCGATAAGTTTTCCGGTATCACTATATAGATTAATGGATTGCTCGGCAACAGATTTTTTGAAGGCCTCTGGTAATGTAAGTACGTTGTCAATGTTCTTCGGTTTGGGGATGTTAAGACCGTTTACGAGCGACAACGCATAACTAAAGTGCTCGGGTAGTGTGGTAGGCGCCTTAGGTACAAGGCAAAAAAGTGGTGAACAATGTACTTTGGCAAAGAATTTATGTAGCAGATTGGACAAGTTCTTGCCCGTCTTCGTACTTCCCGAGAATGCCCTGAACCCTAATGGCGTCAGACATGGCATACCTTTTTTGCCATTTGGACATGTCGAACATACAGACCGACAGCCAATAGAAGATACGTCATGAGGTAAATGACCGGGAAGACAGTCATTTAGGTAACTCATTAGTGGTGATCTAGGTTGACAGTTTGGTTTATCGTTTGGTTGGCACACAGGTTGTGTGTTTGGTTGACCATTTGCTTGGCACTTTGCCTGGCAATTTGATTCAGACGTTGAGTGCTTACTACATGGCCACTTGGATGTCATAACATCCCTGCCGTAATCGCAGTACCGCCAGCCGAAGCATGATGGATTAAGACGACAACGCTCATACAAGAATTTAAGTACTGGGAACAGTCGGCGGAGGATGTCCAGGAACAAATCTAAGCATTGTGATGGGTCTCCGGGATATGATAAATCGAGGACATTGTTATAGAAATCACTGGCGTAAGTTGCGCATTCGTCGCCGTGGCCGACAATTGTGGTGAGTAGATCATGTGAATAATTGCATATATCAGGCAAGTCATATGCCAGTGTGTCATATATCTTATATGCATAATCGGAGTAATCGTCAGCGAACAATTTTTTAATGTGATCTGTGAGTCTGGTATATGAACGGTTATGTGGTAAGGCAGTCAACCAACAAAGCATTTCGAAAATGCTGCACGGTGACTTCGCATTGGATATATGCCTGTGGTGACCGGCGTTGTAATAATTCTGCAAGTGCTCAGAATATAGCGTTTCAAGTGCATTTTTACGCGTCTTGTCAGAGTTATAAACTAGTTTGTCCGAACCGCCTAACAGAATGTTGAAGATATTTCCACCCACCATGTCACTGTCATTCCTAAGTTCACCATCACTAATGTCCTGATGTGACGCAACACGGAAACCGGAACGCTGCAGAAATGCGCCAAGATCATTGTAGTCAAGTGAATTAATTTTTAGGCTCGACCAAGATGTGTCACGACTCTCTATTCCTGCTCTCAACTCTTGCAAAGACGTATACAGGACGCTTACTATAGTACAAAATGTTTTTGCGCAGTTCATTGAATCTTCTGTTGGATCCCTTTCACCTGCTGCATGAGTCGGCGTCTGTTCCCAAATGATATTCGGAACTCCTGAATACGTATTTACGTACGCGTAATTAAGCTCCCTGCCGAAGTCACCAATGCCCGTTTTTATAATGTTAAGTAAATCAGGATGCTTGCCGTCGCCGAATTTTACGGCACGTAGTTCGTACACAGCATCTAAAAGTGAGGCTACATTAGTCGCAAAGTTGTGGTTGAATGTTTTAAGTTCGAGAAGTAATTTGTACACCTTGCGCTTGATGTTCTCAACCTTAGCGATATTAGGATCTGGAGGCTCGGCGGGCGCCGTGAGAGGCTGAAGGGAATTCTTGGTAGTTTTAGGTTTTAGTTGATCAACGACATGATCAAATAAAGGTTCTAAAAATTCTACAACTTTGCCGGCCACCTGATGTAATGTCATGTCTTTGCTCAGATGTGTATCCAAAAACTTTTCTTTCATAATAAGTTGTAATTCCCCCAAGAAACCCTTCACCCCCCTCGCCTTGTCATCATTAATAATTCTTTCAATCGTTGCCAACTGCTCCGCGACAATTTTCTCCAGCGTCGCCAGCTCGGCCTGCTTCTGCTTCGCGAAGAGGGAGTGGACGGAATTCTTGACGTTATCGAAAGAGGATTTAACGGCGGCGAGGAGAGATTTTTTTACATTTTCCGTTTCATCATGTATCACTATATGGGATTTGTCTACCGCTTCGATAAGGCAGTCGACAGATGTGATTAGAGTACTGTGTGCTTCTTGAAGAATATTGCCGACGTCAAGAATTTGCGCCTGCAGGGATTCTATGTCATGTTTCAATGTTTCCATTATACATCGTGCTTCGGCATTGTGCCCGTCGATAACGCTGTTCGGTACGTTTTGAAGCAAAGTAATTTGGTGTTTTATTTTTATAATAGCTTTTGTAAGTGTATCCTTTGTAGCGGCGTATTGTCTCATGAGAGCTTCAACTCTCCCTACCTTTTCATGAGCTCCTAGAAATGTAGCCCCTATATACTTGAGAACGTCATCGGAAAACGCGTCGAACGCTGTGGTATTTTTATCATTGACGGTGACGACAACTCCAAGCTGTTCCAAAGCCTTTTTAAATTTATCTGGTTCACTGACGGTCACACCGGTCACGGTTGTGACGTAGCCCTTAATCCAACGCGCCAAGTTACTATTTTCCCTCATACTACCTGCGACGAACAAGAGACTTCTGCCTTCGCCAGCCGCATTCAGAGCAGAATATACCTCGCGAATATATGCGTCAAATTGGACTTTGATATTTCTATACAACTGTTGCAGGTCATACATTATAATGTTTTCCAACCCCGCAACTTCTTGCTGAACACTTTCAGAGCATTTCAATAGCAAACCATTGGGATTCGTGAACTTTACAACCTCTTCTTTACACTTATTATATCTGTCGCTGATCTTAGAAATATACTTTTCATCAAACGTTTCCATGACAACGTCTTCTACCGCCTCAGAGGCCCGCTCCACCGCGGTCCTAACTCGCTCAATCTGAGTCTTCAAAGTCGTCATTTTAAAAATCTTCACACCGACTTTTATTTTATTAATCTCCCTTGCTACAGTGCCTTGAACACTTTTTGATTGCTGTTCAATAGCACTAATGATTTCGGCTTTACGCTCCTCCAACTCAGCGTCCACCTGCTTCGCCTGCTCTTTCAGTTGCTCATCTCCATTGACTCCCTTGAATGTCTCCGCCGCCTGCACAACCAATGAAACATGTTTATCTAACTTACCTCGTAAATCTGTGTCAATCGTTTCCAAAACCTTTTCAGACACCTTAGACTTAGAATAATACGAGGAGGCCTGTTCAGCCACATGACTCAGTTGCACGGAAAGATTTTTATGCTTCACATCATTTAAATAACGTCTTAACTCTTGAAATGAATCCGGTAGTGTTTTTAATGGGCTTTCAAAGCGTTCGATTCTTCCATCCATCCCCCCCTCATACCCCTGCAGCCCCTGCTGCACAATCCCAATGGCATCGCCAAATCCCTGAACATCATGGCCCTTACCTATTGAACCTTTTAAATCTCTTATAACATCATCTATAGGCTTATGATAATGCCATAAAATATCTCTACTATTAACAAGACATTCAAGGATAAAGGACATCACCCCGTCGCAGAGCCTGTCAAGGTCGGAGTACACGATGCCTTCTCCGGTGTAATTACCATTCTGGTAGCCGAGAAATTTTTCGAGGCCTGTACAAAGACTCTCTAAAAGGTTTTTACAGTTATCAGATTTTTTATCAACATCCTTACAATGTTGACAAAGCTCTTTCAGTGTCTCAAGAGACCTCTTGGAAGCATTATGAGACTGAAGATCCTTATTAAACTTGTCAATTCCAGAGGCATTTTTAGGAGATTGATAGGCATCATTAATATTAAAAAGGAGGTGAAATGGCACATTTTCAGGGCGATTTGGGGGAATTTGGGGAAAGGCGATTTTAGGTCAAGGAGGCAGTGAGGGAGGTGGGTGGACAGGGTGAGAGAGGTGAGGAGGCGAAAGAGGGCGATGAAGGGGTAAGATGGGTTGGGATAAGGGGATTTTAGGGGTGGAGGGGGAATGTGGAAAATGAGGATTTGGGCGAAGGACGCCGACGGAGGAGGTGATGGGAGGGGTGAAGGCAGGGAGCGAAGCGACCAGTGAAGGAGGAGGTGAGTGAGTGGGTGGTTGAGTGAGTGAGTGAGTGGGTGAGTGAGTGGGTGGGTGGGTGAGTGGTTGAGTGGTTGAGTGGGTGAGTGAGTGGGTGGGTGGGTGAGTGGTTGAGTGGGTGATGGGTTGAGTGAGTGGTTGAGTGGTGGTTGAGTGGTGAGTGAGTGGGTGAGTGGTTGAGTGAGTGGTTGAGTGGGGTGGGTGGTTGAGTGGTGGTTGAGTGGGTGGTGGGTGAGTGG